GGGCGACTTCCATCCGTCACAGGGGGGTAGAATTCAACCTTTCAAGACCACAAATGTTCAGTTTTCAGCTCCGCTCTGACTCGATTCATAGTCGCAAACGTTTCCAACGCATTTTGGAAATGAATCGGTCAGAGCTCAAAAAGTCGTGGCGCAATCGAAAATCTCACGAAGCACAGCACATTTTTAAAGAGACGGCAATCGTGCGCAGTTTATGTGCTTGCACATGATGTTCTCCGATGGACGGCACATGTTGGAAGGCCTTTGTAGTTGAGTGAATTAACGCTTGGTTTTCTATATGCTTGAGTTCGCTGTCAGGTTTACTCCATTACTTTTATGAGGATACCTCAGTTGGAGCACAGGTTCATATTTTTGCAGCCAAAAAAGTATTTGACGATATTCCTTCCAGACAAGGGAGGAAAATGAAAGGGGACAGCATCCGCTACTGAAAATGACTGGTTGGACCATTTTAATGAGATTTTCACAGAACGGGTCGAAATTACTCAGTTCTTTTCTGGGATGTGGGTAGCCAGAGTGATCAATCTTCTAGAAATCTGAACATTCATGACTTTGCAGACATCCGTAGAGGTAACCGTTTCTGAAGGTTGAAGGTTGCACAGTTATTTGGGAGATTCGTGATTTACGGATAAGAGCCGGAGTCAAGTGGGTCGAACAGAAGAATTCATGTTCGGTAAATGTCGACATTTCAAGACCTTTACCGTTTTATGACCGAAGTCTCCAAGACTATCGATCAGCATTGTCCAAATACTAATTACTCAATTACTCGAGTAATCCATACGTACTCCTTGCGATTCGGTCAGCTGTTGGGGTCTGAACGACCATGACGGCTGCGTGCCACCGATCGATAGCGCTCCCCGCGTCATCCCCCGCCCGTCCTGTTTCAGATCTCGCCCGGGGTTCATCGGGGACCTTGGAACGTACCTGATCATTAAACAACGTCGTAGTCTCGGGATCATCATCACAACATTTGACCCCTAAATTTACACCACACTCATGTGTACTTTTTCACTTTGTGTAAATAATTAGCTATTCTTTTCGTCCGTCTTGCCTAACAATGCTGCCCATTTAAGACGTTGCTCGAACGTTCTAAGGGCTTCTTTTCGAAAATTGTGAGCTTTGCCGCTCTAATTTGGTGTTTTCCTTTTTAACGCTAATAAAAGTAAAAGTAATAGTATATTTGGGAAATTTTTGAAAAGGTCGGAGCTTTGAGAAGGATTGCTGCAGTACTAGGAGAAGGGGAGCAACTATTCGTCCTTACTCGACGTTGAGATGCACTAATGGTCAGCACCGAAGGGAATTGGGCCCAATTGAAGACCGTCATGTCTGAAGTGGTTACTTAGCCATGCAACGAAGGTTGATTTGACTACATTCTTGAACAGAGAAGAAACAGCTTTCGAGTTGGGTGCTATCCCTGCCTTGTAAGGTGTGATGCACAGCCTTCCAGAAGAGCCCTCATCAGGTTTGGGAAAAACACTTTCTTCATTTCCGATATTCATCCTAAAAGGTCTTAGTTGTAATTTTCGAAGTTGACATATTTCGTATCCTTTTATAATATATAGAGAACTGTTAAGCAGTTTCGTTTGACCCTAACATTGTTTATTTGTCCCTTTGTTTCTTTGTCTTCGCACAAGTTTTAGTCTCCTTTTGTCGAATTCGAATCGCTTCTTTCGCCCCATTCATTTCTGATCTCTCATGGTTCTCCATGGCTTTTCAGGGTTTCAATTCTGGCGCATCGTCCTGCGAAGCGCGTGCGTCTCGCCTCCGTGAACAGTCGTAACGAGTGCAACTTTGTCCCCTACTTCACTACAATCGGCGATACACAAATGAATAAGCTCAAGTCTGAACAGAAAACGAAGGTATCTCTTACTGGGACTTTTTGGTTTTCATTCTGAACGGAAATTCACCTTCGAGAGTTCTCCTTTTGTTTTTGTCTGCACCTATTTATCTGATGTCTTTGAATTTGAGTCGAACCATATTCATTGAATTTGAAGTATTTAACAGTACTGGACTCTACTCAATTCTATAAGAGGCTTCGTCGATAAATCAGCTCAACAAAGAGGCCTGGGTTACGAAAAAGTTTTCCGCCTGGGAACATAAATCACGTGTCTGATCGGCGAAACATGAAGTCTGTTGTAGATGGGTATAGGTCGGCACATGCCAACACCGTCGCAAGTCGCCACTGGATCTTTACTTCGAAAAAGACCTAAACTTTCATGTGTTCTAAAATGCTAAAGACATGCTACACGCGATGAAAGGAATTTTTGATAACTAGCGGCAATGATCTGTCCGGGCCAGTATCCGTATAAGCGATGAGATAGAGTGAATCGGATGTTCTAGGACATACCGATCACAACTTCAGGTCAGAATAGGCAACGGACCAAAACATCAGGAACATCACTTTCGTCGGTTCCAATATAGTAACCTATACCCGGGAAATATCACTTGTAAATGCAAAAGCAACTGTGCTCTGATCTTATCCCATTTTTTGTTTGTGGATTTGCCCTGCCAAATGGTAAAGGTGAAAGAAACTTCGTGAAGTCTCACCTGGTTCTTGGAAAGTCTGAACTCTGATTGAGAGGACAGTTTCTCCAGGTTCAGGCGAAACTCAGTCACTCACTCCGATCTATACGAGAGACCTAGCTGTTGGCGAATGTCTCAGGCAGATTTCTTCTAGAATAATTGTCAGATAAGATGCGAGACCCATTAATGAGTATAGTCCAGATGTGTTTGCTCATCCATTGTCGAGCGCATTGTTTTATACAGATAAGTACCACCTTCACGAAAAAGAAATGCGTTGGATAGTCATGAGCAAGCAGATCTGGACCATCACCTTAGAGCTCAAACATCTTCCTTCTGGAAAAATTCTACATAAAAAAATCACATGTTTTGTTTTAGTAGATTTTTCTAGTGCGCTTGTAAAAAGTAGCATTGATTGCAGAGAAAATGTAGCTCAGTGATGTCAAAATCTTTGGGTAAAAGACATGATTTCTAATTCAACTTGGAAGAAATAACTCTGGCTGGTAGGGTTAGCCAGTTATGGTCGAAACTTTGGTCTTGGGCGGGACTCGAACTCGATCTTATGCTATCCTAGCACCGTTCTTTATCCATTACACTACCGTTTGCCCTAGCCTTCATGGGCTTATATTCCTTACGAGGGTTGCCTTTTATATTTTGAGATTTGGCAACACTAGTGTAGCAATCTAGCAACTGACATCACTATCGTAAAGTTTGACTGCATTTTCGCGCGATGATTTTCTACAACTTTCGACGTGGACTAACTCAACAGCAATGCATGGATGAACTTGGTTCAATTTTTTGCGATGAAGCTCCATCCAGGGCCAGTGTTTATCGATGATACAGTGAGTTCACCCGAGGTCGCAGTTCACTCGAAGAAGAATTTCGTGGTGATCGTCCAAAATCAGTTGTTGTTCCGGAAACCGTTGACACTGTGCACAAAATAATATTGCAAGACCGTCATGTGACCTATCGTGAGATTGGGACAACCTTAGGCATCAGTGGGACCAGCATACATTCAATATTGCATGATTATTTGACTGTAAAAAAAAATGTTTTTGAAAAATTTGTCAATCCCCCAAAAAAGGGACTCGTGTCGATTGGTCGAAAGAAATGCTCAAAAAATACGATCGCGGTGCTTCGAAACACGTCTATAGCATCGAAACAGAAGATGGATCATGGATTTATGCGTATGGAGCCCGGAAGTAAATAGCAGTCGACCGTATGGGCATTTCAAGATGAGCCGAATCCAACAAAGGCTGTCCGCGCACCAAGCACTTCCGAGCAATTGATCTCCTGTTTCTTTAGAAAAACTAGACATGTCGGGACCATACCACTAGAACAAGCAGAACAGTCAATTCTGAGTGGTATACAACCATTTGTTTGCCAGTTGACTTCCAAAAAATCAGGAGAATCAACTGCTGAAAACGGATCACTCTTCACCACGACAATGCGAGTCCCACACATCGGCTCAAACAACTTCATTTTTGAGCACTCAAAACAACGATTTGACAGGGCATCAGCCATGTAGTCCTCGGGTGACTTCTTCTCATCCTGTACGTAAAAAATAAAATGAGAGGTCAACGTTTTTCGACACTTGAAGAAGCCGTTGATGCGTTCAGAATCCATGTTTTAGAGTAACCTACATCAGAGTGGCGAAAGTGCTTCGAAAATTGGTTCGAGCCCATGCAAAAGTGTATAGATCTTAATGTAGAGAATTTTTAAAGGCAACAAAGCGATTTCCAAATATGATATTTGTTTCTGTTCCCAAATCTCAAAATATAAAAGGCAGCCTACGTAGCTAATCATCACTCACACGTACAACGTGTTGAGCCGATTGGCCAATATCAGCACTGAACCGTTTAGCTGTGAGCTTTGCCTGATGGAATTTGTTTAGACTCGCATCAAGGTCTCGGTAGTGTAATGGATAAGAGCACGGCATGTATAGCACAAGTACGGGTTCGAGTCCCGAAGTTTTGTCCGTAGCTTGCCAATCATGTGAGACTTTCGCATTGCGTACTGCAACGAAATAATAGCAGTTAACAGAGCATCAAGTCAAACAACTTTGGATTTTTCATTTAGTGAAAGCTCCCCAAGGCTGTTATTCATCAAAACTGCCCTTTCTAGAAACAAAACATCTCATAAAATAACTGTTATTTGCTCCGCGCTGCTCGGCAGGTACCCCAAAACGCTAGGTCTATTTCTCAACAATTCGCGTTGCTTTGGCAAGCAGAGCATTGATGCCCCGTTTTTGCTGGACTTTAATTTCCGCCGTCACTCATGTTAGGGCGGGTCGGGTATCGAGCTTCCCTACGTTGTGATATTTTTCATGAAGTGGGGAACGTCCAAGAACATATTCGACCTCGTTTCTGTTTGTTGCAAGTACTATTCAGATCAAAAACTTCGTGGCATGGACACAAACAAGCGAACAAATTGCCTATACTTGTTTAACAAGAGCAAATTGGAATATGGAATATGCTGTCGATTTGTTCTATCAGGTTTGTGACGACATTTTGAGAAACCTTTCAGAAGAGAATTTTTCGTTGTTGTTCTTTGTTCCTGGTTGACGTACTGGTCTACTCGAATTTTCGATGCTCAATTTCGTGGAATATTTCTGTTACGAAAAAAAGCAGCCTACCTGTGTGTGAGACGAGAGAAACTATGTGGCAATCAGCAAAGTACCTTCGCTAAAGTATAATAAAATATCTAATAGCTGTGCCAGTTTGTGATTTCGTGTGTGTAGCGTTTGCGTGGTGACTGTATGCCCTTCTGGAGTAGTTTGTATAGCACAGTACTTGCGGGTGTGCGTGTTGTTCACGTTAATTATAGTGTTTGAAATTGAATCTGAAAATCCCTTGGGGCAACAAATGAATTAGTTGCATCCTGTACACCTATTTTTCCTTTTGAATTCTAGTTCACCATGACCAAATCCTTATTAATAAAATTTCCCATTGGCATACGATGGTTGTCCAGTATTAGCCCCTATCACTTCATTCTCGAGAGCTCTTTCGTTGCTTCCTATAAACTAGCGCATGGGAAAATTGTGCGTCTCCTGCCTGATCCAGATGTGCTGCTCTTGCTGCAGTTTATACTTTCTTTTATCACATTTTTCAATTTTCATAGAACATCGCTTTGGGGCTTTACATCATACACTTTTCTATATTACTACGCAGTCTGTATTAAACTTATAGTCGGAGTGCTTTACCATTAATGCTGTGCTCGCTTGCGTTCACTCAATTATTGTGCTCTGTCCAGTGCTAGTGTCCTATGTCCTCTACACCTGTCAGTGTATGCCCTATTGCGGCCTGGAGACATGTGACTTATACCAAGATTCACAGTCGCGCCAGTGTCCTTTCGTACAATTAGGGCAGCTTATGTTTTTCATGCCCGCGATTGGACTTTGTGAAGACATAACGACAATGTTCATTATAGCCACACCCTTGCCTTCAAGGTATAGCCCACCACAAATGAGATGTGGCCAACGGACGTCGACAATGAAAACGCAAAACCCAATTGCAGTTTACACTCCCTCATTTTCGTCTTAGTATCAACGAAACTCGTGTTTAAGAGTCCACGAATGGTTCAGCAACAGCAGCAACAGCCACCTGTGGACAAATACAAGTTAGAAAAAATGTTCTCGGCTTACGCAAATGGTAAGATTCTCTTTTTACTCCGGTAGCTTTCGTTTCTGCTCAGTCTGGTCTTATTTTTGAATCGTATCTTGCTTTCCCTTCTTATAAATGGAGCCCATGTAGTAGTGATATCTGCGCGCGAACATTGTTTCTGAGTTTCGAAGGCTGGATGTCAAGCCAGGATTTTGGAAAGTTTCATTACGAGCTTAGCTAAAGCACCGACTTGAGCTTCCACAGATTAGTTTTTTAATGGTTACTCGATCGGCTTTATCGAGCCATAAGGTCGAATATTTCTTATTGAAACTGTTTCTTGTCCACGGAATAGGGTAATGTGCATATATGCAGCTTGCGATTTCTTTAATAATGGGGGTATTTCTCAATCGTCGGGAATTGCAGTCTCGCAAGCCTTCTGCAAGATCCGCACACATGAATTGAATTCAGGTTTTACCTATGTTTTTTTTTTATTTCTCCACATTTATTTATTTTGCATACTAGTTTAACATTCCCTAATCCAGTTTGAAAAACTCATATATTCTATACCAGACCCTCGCGACGATGTCGGCCCAGGACGCATTGGACCAAACGGAATGCTCCGTCTACTCAACGATCTTCACTTGGACGCTACTGACCGTCGCGTTCTCATTCTCGCTTGTAAACTCAAGGTGCTCTATGAATTCTATCCTTTGCTATTGGAATTTCATTCTATATTAATTTGTTCTATAAGAGCCTGTTGGGATTATGTGAGCATTTTTGTTCACAAGAGATATGGTTATGCGTTAGAAGTTGTTCTTCGGTTCCTTTTCTCCAAAAAGTGCTCCACTTAGATTAAGCGTCGTCTGCTTTTACAGATTTAAGTGTTGCGACGATTATTGAGGATGTACAGGGGGATAAGGTTATTCCAGGCGCCAATTCCAAAATTGCCTTCCACACTTGGAAAACATACCAGAAACAGGCAGTGACTTGTGAAAAAAAACACGCTAAGCGCTGTATTACGATAGCGAGTTTTTTTTTTACCGCCATCCATTTATCGAATTTGCAGTAGTCCAACTTCGAAATCATTCCTTCCATCTCTCTTTCGAGAATAATGGCTAGGGGAATGTAGAATTTCAGTAATTAGTATACAGTAGCAAAGCTTTTTGTAGCTCTTTCCACAATACAGCCTATTCTAATTGTATTCTGACACGACTCGCTTTGTATTCAAAGGTGCAAGTTACCAGCATATCAAAGTTGTTATTGATCAAGCAATGTTACCTTAACAAGACATCCCTTCCCCATAGCTGCTGTGTACAGCCCGTTGTCGGTAGTCTGATATTCTCACAATTCTTTACAATATTTTCTCTATCCTTATTTTATACAATGTATTATTTATAGGCCCAAACACAATGTGAATTCAGTTGGGAAGAGTGGCAGCAAGGACTTTCAGCGTTAAGGTCCGTTTTCAGCACTTTATGTCTTGTTGTTCAGAATATTTTCACTCATTGCTTCGCCACGTGTGATTCAGAGTTGATTCCTTGGACAAACTTCGTGAACGTCTACAGGAGCTGGATACAGAATTATCAGAGCCGGCTGCTTTTCGGGAACTGTATTCGTTCACTTTCCTTTACGGGAAGTTAAGCAGTCAGCGTAATCTGGATCTGGAAACGGCATTGGCATATTGGAAAATACTATTTGCTGACAAGGTGAAGGCATCGGTTCACTTTTTCAGCTACAAATTCTCAAACAGATATGGTGTGGTTTACTATCAAGAGACACATTTTCCAGTTTCCTCTGCTGTCGCTTTGGGAAGAGTTTTTGATTGCTGAACATGGTAAAGCCATTTCACGTGACACTTGGAATCTGCTGCTCGATTTCTGCCTTACGATTAGACCAGATCTGACCAATTACGATGAGGATGGAGCATGGCCGGTACTTATCGACCAATTCGTTGAGTATGCACGTGAAAAGCTTGGCCTACCTCGCGAAACAGCGAACGCTGTCACTTCTTAGGGAATTTTCGCAGTGCACCTCCTAGGAACGGGGTTTCTTTTTGAATTAATCTCTTCCAAATGTCAAATGTTATATGTGTTTATTGGCCGCTAATGATTCGTGGTAGGCTTTTGGGTGATGTTTCTTATTGCCAGTTTGGTTTTCTCTGAACGCTCAGTTTGCTTTTTAGTATTCGTTACGTCGACTCTAGTTAGTCCGCTTCGACTCGATTTGTCCCGACTTTGAATCTTATCGTTCTCTCTGTCGAGTGTGTCCCCTCCTATTCATCATGGGCTAAACGGGTCCAAGCTTAATCCCCGGTACATATATTTTGATGATGAGCACGTATACCCAATATTCTGACTGTGTGAATCGTGCGTCTCGAACAGCGGCAGCACTGATTAGTTCATTTTGTGATGATTTTAAAGACTTTTATCTCCTTTTTCATGGAATGCTGCTTGCAGCTGCAACAATGTGCACTCGATGTAGAGCTTCCTCTACTACTTTTCTCGTCAATGATTTTGTATTTTGTCTCAGCATCGTATGAAGTCGAATAAGAGGAATGCGGTCAAAACGTCACTCGCCCAGAGGTAGAATAAGTTATCTAGAGAAAAAGAGATATTACAAAAAAAAAATAAGAGAGTAGTCGGTTGAATTGCGAAAAAAGGAATGGGACACATTCAACGTAATCCATTTAAGAATTTAAACTTTTTCTCCTATTCGGAGGAAGTGGTGGAACGTAGAGCTCGAAATGCAGAGTGCTATACTTCATTCTCACGAAAAAAGGACGGGGTGGCGATAGAATTAGCAGAGATGTTTGTCTTGTTGTATTTAAATCTTAGTTCTGATTTCAAAGTAATTTCGACGCAAACTCTGAGGTGAACACTTGAGTTTATAGTTCGAAGAACTGCATAACGGCTGAAAGTGTTGAAGTGTTACGGAATCCACGGCTATGTCTACTACACAAAAGATACGAACTTGGTTCCGCAATACTCCCCAACTACTCACATGCTTCTCTATGTACTAATCACAAGATTACGCAGTCTTCAATACGATGCGAGCAGTTATTTTTTTAGAATGTCTTTTCTGTTACAGGACACAGATGACGCCTCTTTAGGGTACCTCGGAGTTCTACTCGATTTTTGAATATTGATCATAAGTTCATTTAACAAGAGAGGCATACTTCATAACAGAATGGATATGGAGAAATAACAGGAAGATGTAGACGCAATAAAGGCAACAACAGTTTACATAGATTGACAAACGTGAGGGGAAATACCCATATATTGTGATGATCTTTCAGCACATCGGTCGTGACATGATCTGAACCCGAGCCACATCAGAAAGGCGTTGTAGAATTCGGTCAACAAGTTGTTCGCCATCAGTAACAATGCTTTCAAGTTCGCGAGCTACCTTAATGTTGAAGGTTGGATCCAACCTTATTTCATAGCGGGGTTGGTCCCTTTGGAGCAAAAAAAAAAAAGGTTTCTTGTAGAAACCTTCACGGTAGTCAAAAACTGTAATCTTTAGAAGTTGAGACATTATTGATGAGGAGCATAATCGAGGGAAAAATCATGGTGCAGAAGTGAACAGGATTTTATACGTACCCTAGATCTTTCAGCATCTGTTTGCAATAGTTGCTCAACAGTATCACCATTTCCAGCGTCATCGATTGGGAAAGAATCGATCAAAATCTATAAGCAAAATGAGATTTTGTTAGGACGAGGAAATTATCTGTTGTTTTGACTACACATGCCTCGATATCCTTCGCAATCCTGGCTATATGTGCCGCAAATAACTGACAGTTGGTTTCTTCTTCGAGTTCCTTAAAATCATATGGTGAGAACTCTTCTAAAACGAGAGGTAACGGATATGATGGCGAACCGGATTACAGCGATCAAAATCACACGGAGGAGCTGTGGCTTGTAGCACCCCAATCGCATTTGTCATAAATGATGCCAATTCATTGATAAGGTCTTGCAACTGGGACAATCTATCTGACATCCTGGAAAAGCACAAAAAGGATGGGTTAAGGCAGGTGAAGATATGAACAAGAAGAGAGAATAAATAGAATATGCAAATACAACAATCGTACAAAACCGATTTCGTTTCGACCGAGACACATGGCTAACCCATTTATTACCGTGCACATAAAGACAAAGGACAAACACAGTACATAAAAACAATCAATATTTATATTTAGTTGAGTAGTCTTTCGGAGAAACAACTAAACCGCGTCCCTTGCGCGCGCCTCTGAAAAGATGTAGGGTTACAGAGGATGGAACATCCTTCTTTCTCCAGGAGATCATACAATCAATTAACCTGTAAACTGTTTCAATGATATCGATAAGCTCTTGACCGTCGGTGATAGGCCAGTTGATCTTGTTGTTGTTACCAGTACCTATATACGTAGGTGTAGCTATTACTAAGAAAATACATCTAACGCTACTGAAATCAGAAAGTTATCAACGACGAAATTGAGGCTGCAGACAGAATCCTTGTTCAAAAAAGGACCTATATGGGCTAGCTTGAAGGAGCAAACAAAGGAGAACGAGATAAAGCGACCAGGCTGCAGTATTACCAAATAATCGACTGCACTGGATAGGAGTTGGTTAGGTAAATTTGAGAGTAGATGAAGGCGGTTACATCAGAAGCTGAGGACAAAAAAGGAAAGCAAAATTCGAGGTTCTTACCACATATTTGGTATGGTAATCTCAGGAAAAGCAAATTAAGCGATTAAAAAGATATTCACCCAAGTCTACCATAATATGCTTGTTCCTAAAGAAGAACATCACAGTGCACGGGTCGTACAATTCATACATCTTGTTGAAGTCGGGGACCTGAGATGAAATATGTTCAGAAACACACGTTAATATCAGAGACAGTTACGCTACCATGAACCCAAATTCGAGAAGCTCTTACCTTCGTAATGTCGACGAGGTATATCACCGAAAAATTCTTCACTTTAGGGGCAATTTTGAAAAGAGTCTGTAACGAAGAAGATCAAACTAAGGGACAATCTCCATTCGGCAAAATTCAGTAAAAATCTGTTTACTTCAAATTTAGGGCATGCCACCTACCTCATCCATCCGCATGCACGTGGGGTCCCAATCGTGACCAAATCGCACTACAACGACACGGTCTTCCTCGGCTAAGATGGCTTGGTCCACCTGAAGAACAACTGAGGTGATTGAGGATCCCAACGAACGATTTCAACAACAAAATTTATCATTATCTGGTTCAAAACCTCGTTTTACGTGTAAAAAACTTCGGTTCAATAAGAATACATTAACTGAACACTGGTAACAAGCCAGACAATCTATAAGAACCGAAATCCGGCGTACATGAAATATCCAAGATCGGGTCTCAATAGATCGTCATGCTTGTCCACAGTGCTTAGCAACAGCATCACAAAATGATGCAAATTGTTAAAAACTCTAGAAAAAAAAACATATTCACACCTGCCATCCGTTCTCCAAATGTGGTAACATATACGACATTGTTGAAGGATTTTAAATAAATGATTTGCCTAAAACGATTACATTAACAACAGAAATAGCTAAATAATTGGTATTTTTACAGTTCTAAAGGGGAACCGAAAGCATATCCTAACAATAGCTTTAAATAAGAAGTAGTCGATATTTACGAAAACGAAACGCACAGCTGACAGCTTCGTTAGATTGATCGAACCCATTATTTCATAAACGTCGAATAAAATGGTAGTTGTGTAGTCACGGAGAAAGTGCGGGGATTACGATCAGCACAAAATAAGGAAACGGTAGGTGCAAACGATCAGAAAGAGAAGGTTCTTCACGGTGTAACGGGATGAATCGGATTCATCAATTATTCATCGCAATTCAATTATGTGAAGCTATTTTTACTTTGAAGTACCTTTCCCTTCTCCCCTTGCCTCACGCCGTTGAAAGGCGATGCAGTTTTTGAATAACTTGAAATCAGTATGTATTTGTGCGAGGAATCCTGCGCGGAGTCCGTAACATCGCGTCAAATTTGAAAATTCCGGCAGTTTTTCGACAACGGAGCGGCCTCATTTGGAAAAACAACACGCTTTTTGTCAGCTGCATGGCTTACTATCTTTTTCTAGTTCCTTTTTGTTTGGGGTGTTGTGAGTGCTGCCACTTTGCTTCCCCTCTGTCTAGTTTCTGAACGAATGTGGATTGGGTCTAATTAAATGTCGTTGCAGGACTGCTTCTATCTGATTTACAAAATGCTGTCCTTACTTGATAAACAAATTAAAATGGATTCGGCAGACGATGGTGAAACATTCCCATGATACTCATCGAATTTGGTAGACTACAGGTCAAGTGGATCATTTTCAGCCGAATCAGTGGCGAAGCAGATTGAAGAATGCCCAACTTTGAGAACGCTGGAGTTGAGAGGGAACACAGTCGGTGTCGAGGCGGGTCGGAGACTCGCTCAGGCTCTAGAAATGCATCCGGAATTGGAAGCAAGTTATTATTCGTTTTGGTTTTATTGTGTGTTAAATTTTCAGTCTTGAATTCACAATGTTTGTCTGTGATTGAACCATCAACCAGGTTATTTTCGTGAATTTCCAGCACGACTATCCCTTATTTGGATGAAGGGCAGAAAGTTAAAATCGAAGCCGTCCACTAAGTAATGGTTTATAAGTTTTGTCATTCACTCGGCATTTACTCACGACGATAGAACCATTTTAACTCGCATTTCTGATTACCAGCCGGGCCGACGGGCTAACGCCGGGCTTCCCTCCTTCCTGTGGTGTCGCCGGGCGCGCCTCCGAATTAGGAGCGATTTTTTCTGTGAGCCATCTTCGCTGCGTCCGGATAGAACATCATATAATATCATAAAGGCTTCCGTGAAGTTCCCGTGCAATTGGAATACTTTGAACGCACTAGGATCAAATTGACAATTGTAGTGCAAACCCCGCCCCCTGTGAGTGGAGTCGGTCCTGCTACCCGCTATAACTATCCACATCCTGCCGCATGTACTCCTTCAAAATTTGAACTTTCTAGGTCCACGTGGTCAGAAGTTCTGTTAAAACCCCGCTCATAGCGGACGGAGTCAGGTTTTGCTACCCTTCATGAGTGTTTTCATCCCGACGCCGGTACTCCATCCAACTTTGAATTTGTAGGTCCATGGGGACAGGAGTTATGATTTTCCGCTGAAACATTTTGTTCGCACAATTTCCGCTCTCTGTGGGCGGAGTCCGGACCTGCCACCCACCATAAGTGTTCCCGCCGTGCCCTCAGTACTCCAACCAAGTTTCAACTTTCTAGGTCCACGGGGACAGAAGTTATGAATTTCCGGTCAGAAACACACATACACACACAAACACACCAACAGACGCACTTAGCCGATTATATAAGTAGGATAGTGTCCCAGTGCTTGATTCAGAGTATTTATGGCGATGCCAACATCGGTGTCGGAACGAACTTGTTCTTAGCTTAATGATTCCATCCCTCCTTATAGATAGGGTGGATCAGGAAAGAATGCTCGAAGCACCTTTAGAGCTCCAGTGTACGACAGCCGTAGCCTCTACATTTTGTCCATCAATAATGAAGGATGAAGCTTTCATTATTGATAGACATGACCATGACCTTATTTACTTTTATGCTTAATCACATTTTCGTTTTCAATGATTTGAATGTGTATGTGGCCTGTACATTGAATTGCGGTTGCCAGCCGAGGAACGATTCAGTGCTTTTATCATCCGAGACGGGTCTGGCAGCAATGAACCAACCCCGGAGGGATGGAAGGCTTGGTTGGCCTAGGCGGATATTGTTGAGGGATTAGAGCCCTGGCCATGCGTGTGAGATTCTGATACTAAGTAGGCCGACCTCAGAGGAATGGGAGCTTTGGTTTTCACTATGTCACTGCATTCTTTGATGACTGGTAGGGGTGGGCACTTACTCTCCTTCCCTGGTTTTGTTCATCACCATGAGCATAGAGATGGGAGTAACGGACTTCATATTATGCTTGGTAGCTAAAGGTGTAATGCTTCTGAAGCACGTGAGCATCTCGGGGAAAGGCTCAATTTAGGTTACTGTCTAACAGATTGCATTCTTCACTGCAACCAACAGTTATTCATTTGTTTGAAGTTACTCCATCTTATTTTACATAGTTCCTTTGTTTTAGTCCACTTTATCTTGTTTTTCCTGACAATCAGACTCGTTTAAACATCCCCTTTTCAGAGATGCCTGTGGAGCGACATGTTCACAGGAAGGTTGAAATCTGAAATTCCTCCCATTTTAGTAAGTTTTTTGTACCATTGTTTTCGATCCGGAACGGCTTCAATAAACTTATCATACCGTTGTATTGTTCGATCTTCTTTTCCAGCGTTCAATGTGTTCTGCAATGATTAACGCTCACTGCCACATAACAGAACTGGACCTATCCGATAACGCATTTGGGCCTATTGGAGCAGAAGGTGATTGATTTTACCATTTTTGACATTGATTTTGGGATTCAATTGAAATATAACTCTTTACGCTTGGCACGCAGTCATATGGCAATTTCTGAAATCTAACAATTTCTCGTCACCTGGTTGACTTTGGGCGGATATTAAAACTATTTGCAGCAATTATTGAGTGTTTTTTTTNTTTTTTTTCAAGTCAAGGCTCAGCTGTAATTCGTTTGGTAAACCTTGGATTTCATGGAGGTGACACTCCGAACCAGTTATAGCTGAGTTGAATTCGTAATGACTAAGCAAGGATGTTGGAGCCGGTGATTAGTCTTTTAGGCATTTCACAGTTTCTGGTTTCGAAATCTGCTTATTCTCTTCAAGTGCTGAAGTTGAATAACAATGGACTTGGTGCAGGAGGGAAAGTGGGTTGCACTTTTCGAAGTTGAGGTTTTTTTCCTAAATTCGATCGGAGCCTATTCAGCTCTTTTCCTACCTACAAAGTTCCTTATTTTCAGACAATTGCTGAGTGTTTACTTAAATGCCACAGAAATGCATCTGCAGATGGCCACGAGTTCAAGCTGAAGACATTCGTAGCTGGAAGAAACCGCCTTGAAGACCCAGGAGCAAAAGCCTTAGCTGAGGCCTTCACAGTGAGCTCATCATTTTGGCTCTACTCCCAAATACCTTGTGATCCTTGTGTTAAATGAGAGCTGCCTCCCTAGCAGGGCTAGTTATTAGTAACGAAAAAATGTCCCAGCAAATCCCGTTCGCTCCTCTTTGCCTTAAACCTGTAATGAATAATTAGCTAAGTGATTTTCTTTTGCAGGTCTTAGGCTCTCTAGAGGAAGTCAGCATACCACAAAACGGTATTCGAGCAGCAGGAATTTGTGCCTTAGCACGTTCATTTCGATCAAATCCCTCGCTTCGGCTAATCAACATTAACGACAACACATGTACAGTCGAGGGAGCATTGGCATTGGCCGAGGTCATTTTCACTTTCTTAAATCTCTGACTAACTCCTTTGTAGCTTGAAGATTCCAGGTTCTTGATGAGCTCACCGAAATTGAAGTTCTTGATCTCGGCGATAGTTTATGCAGGGATGACGGAATACTAAGTATCAGTGAAGCGCTATCAGAGCATCACTACAAGCTTCAGGTAACTGATTATCATTCTGGACCTTTTGAGAGTTGTGCAAAATTGTTATGCAGTACAAGTCATTCGAAGATATAATCAGGCCCAACACGGATATAATGAGTTGTTCCAGAAAAGTAAGGGATGGGTTAGGAGATGTCATCGCGGCCTTGCGCACTTTGCTAGGTCATCATATTTTCAACGTGAGATAGATGTGAGGCACGGCTCAGGTAGCCGATAAGTCGACGATAGTGTTTTATGCGGACGCCTGTTTCTCAATTCCGCTTGTGCTTTTTGCAAGTGTAGGAATATTCAAGAAAATAGTAGGTACACGAGTAGAACTAGAGAAGGAGATATCTTCGTAAATCTCGCGCCTCGATGCTTAGTTAGCTGCCAAAGTAGGAAGTCCTGATAAAATCACAAAGGGCGAAAATGTAGTTTTGGTTCTTCGGTCGCCATAACGCTTTGTGGCCAGCGCCCGAAATGAGTACACGGTTGTGTTCTTGACCTAAGTTTCACTGACTTTGTTCCTTTGCAGTTCGTCGATTTCTCCGGCAACGAGTTGTCAGCAGAAACTGGAGAAGCAGTCATTGCGCAGTGGAAGGAAGTGTTCCTCTCGAGAGGCCAAAATGTGTACGCTCTCTTCAATATCTTTTACTTCATGTCGTAACATTCAAGGTCTTTAATCGTTCGGATTTCAGGAAGCTCAAGATGTCAAATAATTGCTTTGGATCGCAGTTTCACGAGGTCAAGGAGATGGCTGAAAGCACGCCCATCGATCTCGGCGAAAGCGAGTATGCGACTTCTACTTTTTTAGGATTTCGTTTTGTTGTCTCCTGATTTTGTATGGGAAATAATTGTAATTGTAAATATATCGTAACCAACTTTCCAATACTTTTTGAACTGTAAATGGGAACTTCTTTACATACTAATACCGATCCGGTCTGATTTGGTCCCAGCAATGTGATGTATAAACACGATACCCGGGGAGCATAAGTGCTAGTTCAAGTTTTGTCTGGGCTTTGAACATCGAAATTGCTAAACGTCTTTGTTATAGATTTCACTTTGTTAGAAAAAGGTTGACTAAACAAATTTAGTGCTTTGCAATTTAGTGATGATGAGGGAACATTGTCCGAGTGCTCAGATGAGTATATTGAGTCAGAGGGCGATTATGAAGATGAAGAAGAGGATGAGGAAGAGGAAGGTAGAATCAATTACTCGGTTTTCCTAGAATTCTTAGTCATTTTTTGGCGTGTTTTCTACTTTCAGTTTCGGTGAAAGATTCTGGAGATTTTTTAGTTGCTTGATAGCAATTGCAGGTATGCAGGAAAGTCATGGTGGAGATGATGAAGGAAACCTTAACGATTTACTGAACAGCATCGGTGGCCTGAAATTCGCAGACACTCAAGGCAGAGAAATCGATGATGTTGTTTCGTTCCACAATCATCAGCTGAAGCTCAATACTGCTGAAGACGGTTGGCGACAAAAATTTAGATATCTAGTTGACCCGATCTAAAGTTATGCAAGATTCCAGCTGAACCGATTGCTCGACAAATCGAGCAGCACCCATGTATGAGAGTGTTGGATCTTCGCGGAAACACTCTGGGCATCGAATCTGGAACTCGAATTGCCGAGGCTATTAAACGGCACCCTGAATTACAGGTCACTCTTTTTCCTCCTAAAATATAAAAATATCTCACATTGATCGCTACTTTTGATGAGTACTTTTATTACTGATTAAATTGTTGACGAATTCATAATTTAGAGATGTTTATGGAGCGATTTGTTTACAGGTCGTTTGAAGAATGAGATACCTCCAATCTTGGTTAGTTGCTACATCTATTTTCAGAGCTACTGAGGAGATGTATTTAATGTTGACAGAAGTGTCCTGGCTAGTCCAATTTTCAGCGATCATTGTGCTCTGCTATGATTGCTACCAACTGCCATATCACAGAACTAGATCTTTCCGACAACGCGTTCGGTCCGATTGGAGCTGAAGGTTGAAATATTTCTTCAGTGGAAGGGCTCGTTCATCGGAAGACCTTTGCAAAGCTACTACCTGTTCAGGTATACAAGAGTTCCTGGTATCACCAGCAGCGTTTTCATTGGAAGTGTTGAAGCTTAACAACAACGGTCTTGGGGCTGGTGGCAAGGTTAATTAAGAGGACGTTTCTCTTCTAAATATAGAATATATGTACAGAAAATATCATTGAGATTTAGGTGATCGCAAAATGTTTATCAGAGTGTTTTGTTCGATCATTTCAAGCTAAAAGACGTCTAAAATTGAAAACATTTATTGCTGGTCGAAATCGTCTTGAAGTTCCTGGTGCAGTAGCTCTTGCAGAAGCGTTCACTGTAAGTTACCTTTTTGTTTTACCTTAGCCCTTCAAAGAAATTCTTCACATCCTCAGTAGTCGAAATCTGATTACCTACTTTAGCATGGAAGTGGTTTCAGGAAATTCCCTTCACATTTTTTAGAAAATTGGCTCTTTGGAAGAGTTTGCCGTACCCCAAAATGGAATCACAGCCAAGGGAGTCGAAGCACTGGCGGCCTGTTTTGAAGGAAATCCAAATCTTCGTGTCATTAATTTAAATGACAATACTGCTACTCAACTTGGAAGCGCGGCAATCGCTAAGGTTTGTTGATCTAGTATAGTTTTGGTTTAGTTATAGTTCAACTTCAGGCTTTGCCTTCCCTTCCCAGGCTGGAAGTGCTCAATCTTGGTGACTGCTTATGTCGAGATCAAGGTTGCCATGCAATCGTTGACGCACTGTCGCCGACGGTGCACAAAGCTTTGAAAGAGGTGGATTTATCTGGAGCTGAGATGAGTGGTGCGGCTGCGATGCAGATTGTTGAAAAATGGAAGAAGTTCCCGTCTACCGTGCGGCTCATTGTTTCATCGAACAATTTTGGTGGAGTGTTTGAGCAGTTGCGGGCAGTGGTAAACCAGAATATTGTTCTCGGCGAGTCTGAGTTAGTTTTAGTGGTTTGTTGAGAGTCTTACAGTAGTTCAATTTAATCAGACTGTAGTTTTTTGTTTCAGCGATGACCAGGGTTCCCTCAGTTCAGACGACGAAGAGAAAATGAGCGCAGAGGAAACCAGCGATGACGATGGCTTGAAGATGGAGGTTGGAGAAAATCCAATGTTTAATGCCCAATCTATGTGGACTTGGTGAGAAAAATGGTTAGCGACTGGTATGGGAAGGAGACCTGCTCAAAATATGATTTCAAAGCAAGGCGCGCAACGAGAACATGCCTGTGGCCTCAAATCGCCCGTCCTCTACAGTCAGGGCATCGGGGTTATAGATGTCTTCAGGAAACACTCCCATTCTTTCAGCTTGGCCACTCCGAAACTAGCCAGCCTTTCGCAATATCTGTCACTGCGTTTACCATGAGCGACTTAGTTCGTCTTTGCATTCCTTACTCTTTAGACTTTAACAACCATTGACGGACGATATTTTCTTACCATACGCGACTCTTCATCTTATTTCCGTGTTTTTTTTTTCCTTCTTGCAACCCTTCTTTTTCCCATTTTCCGAATCCCACTTTTTTTCGAATGTATATTACAAGAACAATAATATGTGAAAAGGGAGGAAGAGAAACGCCGTAGTCTGTTGCATTGCTGGTGTCTGGTAGAGGAGAACTCGAGGGCGACGATACAATGCGGCCTAAAGTAACCGGCCCAATGACCAAGTTAGACTGCTTCCGTTATGGCTTTCCTGACCCTGCTGTTGGTCTCACTGTTTTTTTTTTTTATTTTCGATGAGCTCGAGGCAGATTTTAAGTCTAATTGATTAATTGATGTATCGGACCTGTAGTTTCAAAATCCCTCTTCTTCACACTAATTTGTAATGTTTAGGCTGCAGGCGCGCCCAGCGATCCGGATTCATTACTAAAACGATGTCGCAGTTGCATGGAAGCAGCGCAAGTATGCGCACTTTTTTCGAACCTTCTCACCTATTCAATGTTTTATGAACAATTTTAGGATCGCTTCGAGTCAGCTACACAGGAAAAGGCGGCTAAGTTGATACTGGAGTTGGCTGACATCATAGCAAAAAGCAGTAACAATGAGAGTATAATTGAAATGGCGGTTGACATAGCAGGTAAGGAACACTATTCCTTGCTCCAACATGCAGCGACTGTGTCCGCTACAAGTGATACCACAGCCTGCGATTGCTTGACTTGTAGTCGAATAATGTTTCAGTCACTTTTTTGACTTTCCAAGCAGCTTTCGAGGCCGTTCAAAGTCGAAAAAGCGACCAGACATTATTCGGCTGCAGCCTAATTAAGAAAAATTAAACCCAGCCTATACTTGCATCTGCGAAAAGGGTATTTTATTCTCGCTTTCTGCTGATCTGGATATTCGACGCAGGATGCTAATTGCGTTTTCTTGCCTTTTCTTTCCAGTTCCTAACTATTTTTTTTCGCTATGAACCCAACAACTTATGGGTACTGTTATTTTTCGGCTTTCAGAAGATGTAATCAAACGGGTTGAAGCTGTTCGTCGTAGGCCAATACATACAACGTCACAACTTGTAAATCATCTCATTGCTCAGAGTGGGTTTGTGAAAGTGAGTGTCTGCTGTTTTCCTACTTTTGTTTTTGTCGATAATTAATGTAAGACCCTTGCCTTCAGGCAAATTTTGATGATTTTAGTGTGAGGAGAAATGGGGTATTGCCGTGAATAGAACAGCACTGGCGCGTCTCCTTAGTCAAATTATAGCCCGTGGTCATCTCTCCGATTGCAGTGCCTTGGTCCAAAATTATTTGTAAGTCTTGCTTTGTGTTTAATTAACCTGACTGCTGGTGATATTCAGTTTTTTTTCAGTGGTAGCGCAGTTTGAATCGTCAGCTATCTGTCTGAAACCAGTTTTTGTATTTTTCATTCTGACATGTTACAGCTTTATTGTGATAGAAAATTACGTTGGAAATGTTATTAGTTCTTTCATTATATGAAATTGCTGGAGGGTACACTAATTGCCTCTAATTCCGTTTTGCAAAAGTAAAGTGTTGACATGTTTTGAAAAAATAGCTCGTTTAGTTGATCTCGGTTGTTCAGTGAGGTGTAGTTTTAATACGATAAATATGGGTATCTTGTCTATTTTTCAAAGATCTTTTTGAAAGGCCCAGTTTACTCTGGATCAATATTCCATTGCCTGCACAAATATATGAAAAATTGTTAAGACCTGACAAATTGTCACTTGATCCAGCACATGAAACAATGTAAAGGTACTATAAAAGTACAGACTCATTCCAATTCTGTTGCTGGATGGAAGATGTTGGATGCTAGATCACCGATGGCGAGTCCGCGCGACCAACACCGGGCTCTCCTTTTTACTGTCAGATTGGCATGTTTCCCATGTTCCTCTCAAATTCGGACGCCCCGGTAAAGGGGAACAAGAGTTATTTCCGAAAACACTTTTTACCTACTACCACCAGTGCCTTAATCCTGTTGCCTGTACTCCTACCACATGTGAACGTATTAGGTCCGCGGGAACAGGTGTTATGAATTCCCGATCAAACACAGGAACCAGCACTAATTGGACGCAATTTCTACAGTAGAATGATGAAATATATCGTCCAAAAACATGATAATTGGTTGATTTGGTACTTGGATCTTTGGCAGAAGTATCATCCCCTTAATCATCGATTTTCTCGGGCGATCGTCGATGACGTGACCATTCGTCCCGGTCGCGGCCAGAGTAGTGCAGTCCATCGTCCTCGAGGGATACCAGGCATACTATTCCTTTCAATATCAGCTTTCATGTAGAATGTTACTATCGCTCTGACGGCCGTCCTGGTGTTCTCTTGACGACTTGATGGGTCCAGCCGGTGACCACCCTGGTTCAGCGGTTATTCCCGAATTGCATGACATGCCCTTGGCATGAGTGACGACGTATCTGGTCCTCGACAAGAGTCCCTGGTACATGGTAGAGTACAATCCAAAGCGGGGAGTCGGTATTTGTGTCCAATTGTAATTACTTCGCACCTTCCTCGTCCATCCTTCGCACCTTCCTCGCCCAGCCTTTCACTCACCTGTGGGGTGACCTCCCTTAATTGGTTGGCTAGTGACCTCTCGGGCAGTCTCAGTGTACTCATATTGATTTTATGAATTGAACTCTTTATCATTAATATTGTTAGTAGTAATATTAGTATTATTCTTATACATTTTAAAATAATATGCGGTAAGGACACGACAATGTAAGAATTCAAAATCTTCATATAATATTGAAACTATGTAGACTTATCTGTGACGTATCTAGACATTCTTCCCCATTTTGCTTACCTGCCTTTCGCCAACATATGTTGGCTCTTGGATGTGTCCATTTGTAGTAGCCGTAGCTGCCTCTAGGCTCTCGGAAAACGTAAGGTTTTGGTTTACAGAGTTCACATTGCTTGCGGGTGCTAAGGGTACATGAAAGGAATTCGCAGCTACAGCACTCGAGGAAACAGAAAGTGGAGGTGCAAGGGGTAGAAGGGGTGCAGATACATGAAATAGAGGTGGTACGGTGTGTTATAGTGGGCTAGCTAAATATAGGGATTCGGAAAAATAAGAAGGAGCAACAGGAGCAGGTATTCCCGAATTGAAGCCGAGAAGGTGCTGCGGTCGAATTCGGAGTAGTGCAAGTCAGACATTGTGCTCATGCGATAACAAACACAGTACAGAGGTGATTTATGATGCTTTCATCCACATGTTTAAANCGATAAATTCTTTTCCCCTTTTTTATGATATTTCCAATGTTTATTTTAGCCTCCACACCTTCTTTTGTTTTTTTGTCTATGCGTTTCATTTTTTCTTGTTTTGCTTTATTTTATTTCTCATGCTTTAAATGCATCGTAGTTTCTCACTCACACAATTGATATTGTTAGACGTGAGGCTAGTTGTCTGGCAGAGAGGTCACCAGTCATCCAATTAAGGGGGGTCACCCCCCAGGCGGGTGAGTGGCTGGGCGAAGAAGGTGCGAAGGATGGGCGAGGAAGGTGCGAAGTAATTACAATTGGACACAAATTGGCTCACCCATCCAAAGCGTTCGACAATCTATTAGGTTGGTGCATAATTATTGCGGATCTTTTCGCGGCTTTTTTCTCTCAATAGAATTTGAATATTGAGTTCGGGTTTCCTCTAGAAATGATCTACTTGATTTCCTCTAAAAGAATATACTCAAAAACTATCCGCATATTTGAAAATTTAGGCTTTACTACTTCGAGAAAGGTTGGAAGGTAGCTCAGCCATTCTGCGATCTCAGTAACTTTTCTGCGATCGTTCATTAGAAGACCTAGTGAGAGTATACATGATTCCCTGGCGGTCTAACACGATTATTTTGATATTTTCTATTTCCCCTGCGTTTTACCTGCCTCTATATATTAGGTTGATGCATAATTATTGCGGATTTTTCAAAAAATTTATTTGACGAATCGATAGAAATACTGGACAAAGACATGTTCAAATAGTTACTTTGGAACTTAGTCACCATCTACGTCAAGCACTGCTTCCGATTGATTAGTTTTTGGAATCCCAAAAGTGAAGAAGTTTTGATCCTTGTGGGCGATCCACGCCGTGACATCGGTCATCAAGTCATCCAAATCGACGTATGTTCTATTCCCCAGCCATTTTTTCAGCGAACGGTTGACGAGATAATCCATAGCAGTTTCTGCTGGTGAATATGGCAGATTTAGGAGCAGATCCCATTTCTTGGTTGGCTCTGGCTGATTGTTCGATCGCCGAAAAATTACTGAGATTGCGGAATAACTGCGCCACCTTCCAATCTTTCTCGAAGTAGTTAAGCTTAATTTCGCGAGTATGCGGATGGTTTTTTGAGTATATTCTCGTAAAGGTAATCAAGTAGATCATTTCTAGAAAAAATCCGAACTCAATATTCAAATTCTATTGAGAGAAAAAAAGCCGCGAAAAAATCCGCAATAATTATGCATCAACCTAATAGTTATTGCCTCCTTCATCGAGGGCAGCTGAACGAAACGACTTTATAGGAAGATTGATAGAAAGCTTATTAGATCTGACTGAAAAGAAGGAGTGCTGGTCAGCCGTCTGGTGGTCTTCGAAAATTTATGAGCGACCTGATGGTAATGGTATTAGATAATAGGTTCTTTTCACAGTGCTTAGTCTTAAATGTGCGGCGAATTCATGTTGCATCTCTCAGAGCTTTATTGGCAACGGAAGCTGCTCCTCTCTACTACTATTCATGCTTTTATAGCCTTGTTAAACACGATCCCGTCTAGTTTGTTGCCTCCAACCCTGTTTGATGACAACATTAACCGCTGACGCTCATGGTATGAGTGCTTCGCGCCCTTCTTGTGCCAGAATGTGGTCTCCAGGAGAGCATGTAACCGTGGGTGCTTTGTTGAGCTTCGTTGCGCACCCTTCTGTTTTTTCTTCATTTTCTATCAGATACAGATCTTTATTAAACAGAAATTATTAACAGCTAGCGTGTTTATTGCAACCAGTAATGAACGTTTCGTGTGGCAATCGTAGGACAATCATGTCGCTAACCACAACTACCTCTTCCTCTATCTCGTCGTCATCCTGAAAACGCTTGAAATCCTTTCATTGTTGTACTCCCAGTCGATAATTGAATTCTCACCACGACAGTTTCCTTGGCTGGTGGGAAGGTCGAAGTCGCCGAAGTGTAACTAACCGTACTAGTTGGAGTTGGAGCGTCGGTAGTGGCCAAGGTGGTAGTTGTTACGCTGGAATGAGCTTATTATATTAGGATAACTTCCTCAGGTATTTCGATGGATTCGCCAATATTCGGTGAGAGTCCAAGGTCTCTGCGTACGGTGAGCGACGGCAGGATGGCATGCGTTTGAATTTGGTGGCTAGCCCACCATATTCAAACGCATGCCTGTACTGTATTCCTGTATATTTATCCGACTCCCACTCTCTCCTCTTCCCCGAAGCAAAGAGGGCTGTACAACAATTTGAACCACGACATTTGAAGTTTACCATGACTCAATTAAACACTTTACCTATCTTCAAGGACTGCGTCCTCATCGATAACACTTGTGTCATCCTCTTCGAGTGCTTCAGTGGTGGATGTCTCTTGCGGTTCTTGAGTACTGGATGAGGTAGGCAGTAGTTGGTGCATCTCTTGAATGCTGAGCGGTTTTGGCAACTGCCGAACAAAGCCTTTAACGTGTTTCACGGCTAAGCCGTTGAATGTGCTTTTTGCCGGCGCAGCTCGTCGAGGGACTCCATTCGGCAGTGAAGTGTCCAGACTGTCGAGACTCCCAGCAACTGGTTGTGCGTTAGCACGAAGTTGTAGAGCCTGCAAATTTGTCGGTCCTGAAGACGTTCCCCACACGAACTTTCCTTACCTGTTTGAAACGGTCCCTCGCATGATCGGAACTGACAATAGCTACTTGTTTCGTATTCAACTTTATGTCTATCCCGCCAGATGGAAAGTCCGACGGTTCCATCAAAGAAGCACTGGAATGTGACAACGTTAGAAAGAAACGCATCAGTATGGATCGAAAAATATCACCTTCGTAAAGGAATTTTCGCGGTCCTCAAGGGATCACCAAAGATAAGTGGCATTGACACTGTAGTTGTTGGCTCTGAAATGGCTATGGTCGTTGAGAGGGTCTCTAGAAGCTGGTGTTACCTCACCGTCCATTAGAGCCACTGTGGCCATTTCAGGCTCCAAATTTCGTTCTTCAACGTTATCGTCTTCGTAGACGTCCTAGGAAGACCAAATCCGTTGCCGAACGAGACACAGCTGCGAATAAGAAAGCTAGCTACTCACGTACTCCTTCTGTTCGTCTTTCGACAAACTGGCATCATTATCAAGGGTCTCACGTTTTGTCCGACATTGAGGAGCCTGAAATCTTGCTCCACTTAAGACCCTTACAGTATGACTCCCTAACTGACCATTCCGGAACTGCATTGTTCATCGGACAGATTACAGAAGCGAAGTCTGCAGGAGAATTTCACGACGGGGACATCGGCGAAACGAACAGCTTTACCGACGGCTGTCACGATGCCGTTTTTGGAATAATCGAGGCTGTTGATGATCGATTTTTGAGTAATGCACCTGAATTGCGAATACTTATTATCCACTGTAGTGCAACCGTTTGAGAAGGGAAAAGTTTCTCTGTTGAGAAGCGTAACAGAGAACGGTTAAGTGTCCCCATTGGATCGAATCCCAACGAGGACTGCTGTATATTTATTTCTACCTCCTTTCTTCGCGAGTGGGCAGTGATCTGGTAAGAAGATGGAACATTCAAATAGCCCTACTATGATAATGAAGTCTGCTCATTCCGAACGAATTTACTTCCTTAAGAGATTAGCGCCGTCTTCTCCGTTTCGACAACATACCCGTTGTTGCCGATGATCATTTCTGTTCGATGATTGATAGGATCGATGATGAAGCAAGAGTGTATCCGAAAACGTGGGTGGTCTGCAAGTAATAAGACAACAATTCATAGCTAGTGGTCTGATGTGTATCTGAACTCTTACTAGAAACTTAAAGGACAGCGAGTACTCTGGGAATACGATGAGGGAGCTGATATGCTCTACGATGCCCCTCACTGGTGGATTGTCGAATCACGCAACCGTAACTGGAACATAGCCCGACAGCCTAACAACGAGTCATCCTACACTGAGCATGTCATCCCCTTTGCATATTTCCAGTGGACCCAATGTATCTATTGCCACTCGGAGATTATTGAAATCTTCTCAAAGTACCTTGGCCACACGTCCATCTGTGAAGTAGTGGTGTTCCGACGGTGATGGAACTCGTAGAGCAATCTTCTGGTTGTGGAGTAACAGTGTAGCGACAGTTCATTGCCCTCAACAACCCCGCGTAGGGTCCTCCACTCCTTAAAGTACACTTCAAAGAGCGTATACGGGTGAATTAAAGACCAGATGATCACTCGCCAGTTCAAATCGGCCCCGGTCAGCAACGTGGAGACTCCTTGAGCTCTTTCTGGACTCTTAACTGTCTTCTTCTTGTCGGGGTAGAAACATCGAATCTCGAATGTGTGATCGTTATCGGTAGCGAATCGACGATCAAACTGAAGCACCGCTCGGGAGGAAATCACAAAGCCTCGGGATTCCGCCTGAACTGGAATGTCTCTTTGTCTCAAACTAATTTTTGAATAAATGTAGGGCTGTGGCGTATAACGTGCAGCGTTTAGCCTCCACTCAGCTTGGTTACTTCGTATTGGAACTGTATTGAAAAGCCTTGTTACTTTGAGCGAATCCTAATCTTCGAAAGTCTGGTCTGGTGATTACCAGATGAAATGGAATGTAGGAGCTTCCCAAGAAGTCCTTTAAAGCCGCATTCCATTGAGGTCCTGAATGAGAAGCCACAGTACCTCGTACACCTTTACCAGGCCACATTTTCCATGAGGTGCAATGGTATGCACATCGAATCGAGATTTATCTTCAGATCCAATGAGATAATCCTCCACTGACGAACATCCAGGTTCCTGATGGTATCCTTCGAAGAACAATCGGCCCTGGAAGTCAGTGAAATAGTACAGAACCTAAAGGTTGTACAGAAATGAAGTCATACCTTTAACTTCTTCGTAGTTGATATTCCTACTTGCACAAAATCTGGTCCACAAGTGATTTCAGCTCCTTCTATTCCTGAAAAAGCAGTTATAGGAATCGGGTTACGAAGGGATAGGCGTTTCAAGTCAGATAACCCCAAAATACATAAAAAAAGGGTGAACATAACAGAGGAACCAGAGTCCAGGTTGAATTTATAGTTAGCGATCTCCAGCTGGCGTTCTCTTCTCGTCAGCTAGGCTAATGTGTCGATGAGCGTTGGCTCCATCCACCGACTCATTGAGGCCAGCGACTAAGCAGCCGATGTATAAGCATGTGATTGTTGCCATTACGACATCTTGGAACTCGACGCGACTGTTGTTAACTGGCGGTTGTTTTCCAGTCGGTAAACATGAGTTGCCCCTCAGCCCATAATGAGCAACTGTAACTTTTGTCCTTTTCAGTTTCAGAAAGATTTATCGTCCAGTTGAGAACCGGGCCTGTGTGGTGGCATGAAGTGAGAGAGCAGCCTGTCAGAATTACCTGTGAGCCACTGAATTTCTTACCTCTAGCATATTCGCAATGTTCTCCTTGTGAAAGATTTTTGAAACCGGCTACAAAATGTTCGAGCGATACGTTCTTGTGGAGGTTCTGAAAAAAGACGACGTTAAATTGGCGGACCTAGCATCGAAGAGTATCATCAGAACCACGAAGCTCCGAATTTGGTTTCCTGCTCGGTTATTCAACCGCAGAACTTACTTGGAATGCCAATTCGTCTTTGCCACTGATTCGAACGATTTCATCCCGATTTATGTGATCTCCGATGCCCAGCGTCAGAATGGTGATTCCTATGATAGGAACCATTTATTTTCTCCTTTTTTCTGGGATATTCCAACTGAGGTCAGGTGAGGAGAAGTGGGGGCATGCAAATAGTCTCGTCTAGGTAAGTTGAGAACTTCTAGTTCGACTAGTTGATCTCATATTTGTCTTGATTCCGAATAGAAATTAAATGTGTGGCGCACGTCAGGGAAGGAATCATCGCCGATTTCTCTCTAATAATTGTAGTCCAAAGACAGATAGAAACAGTGACTCGCATTTTACTCACCGGCTGCTCGTAGAGCTTCTGCGGCTGGTACCGGATTGTCCTGTGAGTGTCCGTCGGTAACTACCACTGCTACCTAGATAGGATATTCGATGAACGGTAGTTTTGAAGCTGCAAGTCTTTGAACCATAGCATGAACGAAGCTCTTTGCACCCCATCTCCTCGCAACAACAAAATGGGAATGCCTACGCCCTACGCTGACTGTCCGCAAGTCGAAATTTAGCTTGTTTCGTCCTTCTCAAACTCTAGAAAGGGGTTGTGTAAGTACAGCTTATCAACAGTGCCATTGATGCTGTCTCCTAAAACTCTGCCACAGTCTTCATGGCTGCCATATCAGAGTGTTGAATGATACTACTAAGGGCACTATTCGCCTAGTTTGTTTTCTGTGGTCTCACGAGGTTTCAGTATTTCTCAACACTTTCTGCTGCCAATGTAATTGTCATAGATTTGTACATGTACTGTTTTGGGAGTTCCCACCTGGGAGACATCACTCTGTTCGTGGCCACGTCTTGCTTTCCTGAACATATCCAGCGCCTTCAGCATCGCTTTGCCAGTCTTCGTCGTTCCGGACATGTGACGGATCTTCTTTAGCTTGGACATCAATTCATCGTGACTCTGAACGGGAAAATCTTTCATTTGATCCCAATGGTGCGCTTGGCGGCGTAACGCCGACGGAGATGGCGATTTACAGTTCATCGATGTTGAGTTTAGGGTCATTTGAAACTTGCGTAGGATCTTTTCGATCTTCTATCGGGATAGCAGGATGGAATACGCCTCAGCTTGTGCAGTCTTAGCACTTTGTGGCTTAATATGGGATGCTGAGCATAAACAAATAACTATACTCTAGGAAACTATCATTACCGTTTTTTAGAGAAAAAGTATTCATTTATCTACTGACCACAAAATACTCGGGTACGCGGTCTATGAATATGGATTATTTTGAAAAATAAGTAGTTACCCTTTGAGGTGTGCTTAGAAAAATGTGCTGTTATTCAAATGCCGACCTAAATCTATTCACGAATGGGTGACGCAAAAAAATAAAGAAAAATTTTGTTTTAATCTTCCTTTCTACCCAAAGCGGTTCGGTTTTTGGAAACATCTGTTTTATCTATTTTTAAATTATTTTTTTGGGAACACGGTTTCGCAGTGAAAAAGTTAGCTCAAAATCTAGAAAATGAATACTTCAAAGTAAGTGAAACAGTAAAATCAATAGTAAAAGTAACTTGGGCGTTGACCAGTTCTGTTGGAGCATGCGCCCTGCACTTAACTTCCATTCGGAATCGTAGTGACGTAATGAGCGCGTATTTGGCCCATATAATGACTTGCGGTGGCCAGCCGATGTACAAGCTGGTGCTTTCACCCTGGGCGGAAGTGGTGTAGTGGCAAGTGGCGCACTTCACACACTCATGGTTACGGGTTCAAATCCCAGATCGATATCCGCCCAAGCCAATCAAGCCTTTCATCTCTCCGAGATCGGTGAATTGGTTCCAGACTCGTCTGGGAGGATAAAAGCACTGACTTGTACGTCGGCTGGCCACTGCAAGTCATTTTATAGGCCACATGCGCATTCAATGTGCCACTACAATTCTGAATGGAAGTCGAATGTGTGGGCGTATTCCTAAGACGGGATTGATCAACATCCCAAAGCTTTATTTCAGGCTTAAGACTTTATATTGCAATATTTAAGGAATAAGGAATTTCGAAGATGAATCCGTTACTAGCGATTGGCCTTTCCTTGAGCGCGTCGCGCATTCGATTTTCATTGAGATTCGTTGAGTTATTCGAGTGGTTCTGTAAACTAGCAAATGCTAACTAATGTGAATTGGGCTAGGAGCTTTCTCCGCTATCTGACTAGTCCCTTACTAGTTTATCGATCCCAAGCTTCAGCGAAACTAGTCCCTTATTAGTTTATCGATCCCAAGCTTCAGCGGAAAGGGTGTAAATCTGAAGGACAAAAATCTGTGCTGATTGTCTCTTCCAGTAGGTTTTTTGTTAGAAAATAATTTGACTGTGCAGGTGAGAAATGAATTCACTAGAGACTTGTAGAAAAACTAACTTTTCTCTCAAATACTAGTTCTAATCTATGCCGTGAACTACTCACCTGGCGATCTTCGAAACTATGCTCAAGTCTCGTGTAGCTGGCATACTGTAGAACAGCAATCTGGCTCTTAACATGGTATATTGAATTATCAATTTTTTTGGGTTTGACCCTTTTAAAAAATCGAATTTTTTGCAAGACATAAAACTCGAATTTCACCTTGTCTCTGCCTATATTCATCAGCGAAGCGATTTTGTCAAGCATTTGCATTTGCATGGCAAACGTTGGGCCGGACACCGACCCGGATCCATCCAAAAGGAACAGTACATTCAAACGAAGTGCTATCGGATGGCACACTGTAATCGGCAGTAAAATATTTTAGAACGAAGAACGGAACCACTAAATTCATTTGGGCCTTAGAGTCCGAAAATGGTGACCCTGAATTATAGAATGTGTTGACATTCTTCGCTGTTTTTTTTATTTGAAGGAAGGCAATAAGTCTAAGAAATTTGCCTGCAACTCCTTTAATAATCCCAACTTTTCAGTTGAATAACTCGATGGATTGGAAATTCTACTCACCCTTGACAAGCTCGTTGTCGTCCTCAACAGAGTTCACCAGGACGATTCCGATGACGACGATGTTAATTAGAAGTCGAGTGCATCGGTCGAAGGTCATCATCGACATTCACACGAACACAATCAGCTCATTATGATCAGTTGACCTTATTTAGACGAGATAGCTGGTAGGGCGAGATCGAATCCGGTATCCGACGAGCGAAGCAGCCAATCCACATTCGATCCGAATTAGCTACAATGATCGCTGATCTCTTATCAACATATAGTTAGGTATTACTATGATAATTAGAGTGGTCAATACTATTGAAAACTCGAAAGTAGCGCTGGAGGGAACGTCCGCAAAATTTCAGAATTGGTTTCAGATCCGGAGCAGTCAGAAATCTGCATATTTCTCACATCTCGAAGACCGCATCGTCACAGTCCCAAATAACCTATGGGAGCTGACGTATCGAGTTATTATCCAAAATATTCCACGAGAAGCCAGAATGCCCCCCTTCTGCGCTTGAATTTCTCTTCCTCCTAGACGGTTCCACTCTGTGTCCCTCCGGCGTTCTCCATGCAAATAAGCATGCTCATAAAAATCCCTGGGCATTGGAAAAATAAAGTGAATTTCAGTTTGCGCAATCTGTACCTAACAGATGAAATCAGCGCTCCAAAAGCGATTGCGGTCCTGATATGGCGGTGAACAATCCAAAGAATTGAAGTGATATACAATATACAGAGCTACTTCGCTGTCTTCCGCTATGTCGCCTACACAAGTCTACTGCCCCGCACTTACGCCTTGCACAGTGACTTCCATAGCCTTCGTCCTGGCATTTTTGTCCTTTCAAGCAGATCAATTCGTCTTGGTACGAGGTAACAAAAGCTGTTTGGGTGGGTGCTGATCTGACAGTTCAAGCACGCTGCGATATGCTGTGCATCCTTTCTTTTTGCTATGAACATCTGAGGCTGACCGCTTCCAAAAGTAAATCTTCTGAGTAAATACCTCCGAAAGAGCAAGGATTGAAGTGATTGCCGATAGGTTATGAGCCATGCATCGAGTTCCATCCAAGTGTAACAACGAATTGTTGCATACACCACACCGGGGCATACGATCTTGTATAATTATCTCACCTATGTGGGGCTTGGGAGAAACAATCAATGTTCTATTCAGTATTTCTATTCTGTCGAACGAGTCTGATTTGGGAATTTATTAACAATCTCGTTTGTTGACTGTGTAGTGGCCTTGTACCGCCTTTATCCACTCGCCTCTTCAATACCAATCATTTTATAGCCAAAATTACGTCAAAATGCTTGACGAAGCAGTTTGATACTCAATTTTTACCAATGCTCAATTCCTTTACAACACCAGGTTGAGCCCGAGTTCCCTTTCAGCGGTCCCAATAGGTTTATTTATCGTGTGATAAGGTAATTATTACCGTATTCAGTAGTTGTTTCTAAAATTACATGTATATTTAAAACATGTCGATATTCAGTACAGTATAAACGGAAACCCTTTTTATTGGAAGTAGCTGCTGAATTAATTTTAAAATTATGCGGTCCTTCATCATTAGTTTTCAGAGGCTTTTCACGGCCACGACCGTTTGGCATGTCCCTGCTCTAATGAGAAGGCTTTTGCACAGTCTCCAAGTGAAGAGGACCAGCCTGGGATGCCTTGTGGAATTATACTGCTTCTTGGTTTGGGTATATGATAAAGTAAATGAAAATCATTCACCAGTCATCTATTTTTCCCCAGCTATGTACAGTATGCTACAATGTATTCATTTTGTAATATTTCTAATTTGTATCTCAAGCAAGTTCCATAGGAATATGTATATTTCTGAAAGATGATTTTGATGAAAAGGGAATTTTCCCATCTTACGCCGTAAGGGAAGCTAAGTCCTAGCCCCAAATTTACAAAACTGAAAACAGATAGCAAAGGAGTTCGACAGGGACGCTGCCACCTTCCCTTTCGACAAACATCAAGTCCGTACCTGATTTCCTCCCCATTCATTAATTTCATGAGAAAAAAAAATCACAAACAGCCCCTCCCCCCGCCGCGGTGAAGTGGGTGAGGTCCCATTTAAATGTTCCACACTCGCGCTTTGGGTGTGGTTGGCGCGAATTCAAACACCCGAATGACGCTCCCGAAGCAACGGTGCGTGAGTTCGATTCCTGGCACTGTTTGTAATTGCTTGGGGATCTTCCGCTGGTCGCTGACAGTTTTCCTGTCAGCAGAGTGCCAACGGTGCCTTTGTTTCTTTATTTATTTGTAAACAGTGTTTCATTGATGCTTTGAACATGTGTAGGCATTCTTTTCCGCCGGTTCCCTCAGAGCTTCGCGAAACTCCACGGTTCCTCCATATAGTTGTAGAGGAAGTGTAGCCGTTCGTCACGAGTCAATCGGAATAGTAGTTTTTTTGGAAGTAGCTCTTTTCTGCCTCTTCTTTCAGTTTTTTTGTTTCAATTTTTTTGAGGCAGAATGCAGTTTTAGTTTTTACGAATGTTCCCTTCCATATCACTGCAAAGCCTCACGGAAGTCTGAACTTTCACATGAGGATTAAATTTCTTAATCTCAATTTTTTCCTTCAAGTATTTCATATGAAAAAAAGAAATTTTCCATTTCAAATGAATGAAAGCTTCGAGGTTAGAATTGGTTACAACTGTAATAAGCCACCTAACACCTTTTGTAAGAAATAAGTTCAAATTTATTACTATAGTTTGATCATTACAGAAACTCGTACATGAGCGTAAAGGATTTAATTGTATTTCGATGGCAGTGAATATTCGAAATTTGTTAGACTTGGCAGTTAGTTATTGGTCATTTGTAAGAAAATTAAGTGAAGCTCGATTATTGATAGCATTCCCAGCTAAAGCCTCGCCTTTTCTCCCCATGAAGGAAGCTTCACAATCTTTCTTTCAGATAATTCGTCGTATGCAAGCGTGACTTGTTTTCAAGCCTTTTTTCTATGGACACTTTCTACACTCCGATGAGGACCCCAACGGCCAAAGCGCGACGAAAGGCTCTGTCACCCACCGAACAGGTGCCTGTTGAAGCGGGCCCTAGTTTTTCTTCACCTTATGCGGTACGGCTTCATTATAATTGCCCTAACTTTCATTGGTTTTTTCCTCTAGATTCGCTTTTGCACTCCCCTCGCTGCTAGGAATAGAGGGGATCTTGTTTTCAGTATCTAGTTGGAACTTTTATCTTTATCGAAACTTTTGCCAAAATTTGTGTACTTTATTCTATTATTCCAATCTGTTCTCCTGTTTTTTTTGCTGATTTAGGGTTGATTTTTTTGAAAATAATTATATTTCCAGGTGGTTGAGTTGGGGATGGATGAAAATGAAATGAGGGTTCATATATTGGAACAGGATACTACGATCAGGGAATTGCGCCGTACTATAAAGGTGGGTGGAAATTTGTGTTCTGTCTAGAGCGGTTGATTACCGCCGCTCATTTCTCAAGTTCGGGTTCCGACCTGCTGTTTCTTAGCCCCTTCTACGTTCTGTTTTCGAATTGCTCGTCGATATCTCACCTCGTACCAAGAGATTCTTATTGAATTGAGCACACAGGTCTTCAATCTTACCTATAACACCACGGATCAAGCTTTCCTTTTCAGAGAATGGAAGAAGATATGAATTCCAAGATGAATGAGAGCATTCTGATCGAAACCAGCAATCGGATCAACTCTCACGAGTCGCGATTACTCCAGTATGTAATGTGACGGCGATTTTGTTCTTGATTACATCCTATTTCAGCATTTTTATTTCAGAAAGGATATTGCCATATATGAACATGAGGTGAAGGAAATGAAGGAAAACCTCAGGATAGCAAAGCTGGATTTGTCAGCAGAGATGAATAAGCGAAAAACAATTGTAGGTTTTCGAGCTGCTGCATACAAAATTTGCTTTGTTTACACTCAATTCCCTTTTTTGTTAATCAGAATTCGAAGCCATTTGATCGGTTATGAAATCTCTAGGAAGACGACCTTACGAGGCGGACCATTGAGTTGGAGGAATTTGAACTCAAACTGAAATCAGCCAACGAGGCCGCCAGCAAGCTTCAGGAGAAGGTATCTTCAATCGATATACCCTTGCTCTAAACGTCTTGTAACGCGAAAATCCGTTCCCTGTGTCTCTTTCAATGCTTTGTACTAATCTAGCCTTTCAGTTGGTAGAAAAAGATCAGAGAATAACCCAACTTGGATCTGAAATCAGCGCCGCGAAATTCGAATATTCGGTGTTGGAAACGAGATATGCCAAGGTGATTAGTTTAATTTCGCGTCTTTTATCATTATCCGCCTCCACTGAACTTTTTCAAACGACTTTTAGAATTGCACTCATTTCTTGTTGACGAGTTATCCAGTTTCGTGAGATTTCTAGCGATCGCGTGATTTTTAAGAGCAAGCAAGATTGTGAGGAGGCTAAATCTCGTAATAAAACACTTACATTGGAAGTGGCTTCCCTGAAAATTGCACTCGCAGAATGCAAAGAAGAACTTCGTCGAGGATTGGAGGCCGTCAAGGATCAAAAAGAAAATATGACCAAAAGGGAGATCGAGGTATTTCATGGGACATTAGTAGTTAGCATGGCTTGATATGTAGTTTATGGATTCTCTTTGGGTTGTTATCAACTTGAAATGTCCAGTTTCTCTTTTCAGAACAATTGAATAATTTTAGCATTACTTGAAATTACTGTTCTTCAGTTGCGGAGGAGTTTGGAATCGAACCTCGTCAATCACAATCTGTCAACTTCGCATAGTCTCATCAATGCCTTTCAATCACTGTCTTCTCAGATAGAAACAATCCAGAAAACGAATTTAACAAGCGATGTATGTCCTACCATCTTTTTGGTTTTTCTTATTCTACGGAGTTTCGCTCCTCCTGGTCCCTTCTCTTCAACTTGATCTCATTTCTTCAGAAACTCAAGCTCTATTCACTTTATCAGTTAAGACCTACTCAGAGATCTTTGGATCGCCTCTACCCTTTAAGAAAAAGAAGAACATTACGTCTTCTCGTGTAGGGAAGTTCAGCACCGTGGAACCATTGGTTCTTTGATCTCCCGTGGCTCTACGTTCGAAGAATTCTCAATTCGCCTGATTTTACTAGTCTTAGTGACAACTGGAATGTTTTTAGTTGTTGTTGCTTTCATAAAACTGTTTTGTGCCTCTTCAACTTTGTAAACCTCTCTGAACTTACTATTTTTTTCTTCCACTGAGTTTGAGTAATTTCAATACTTCTCTCTCCCCTTGCTCCAGAAAGACTTTATTCTGGCTCGAGATATGTTTGGGCCAAGTTAAATTGATTGGAACGTCGTTTGAAAGTGCTTCAAATATTATTATTGTTATTTTGGCTAACTATCGTCATTGCCGCGACTTAAAGACCGACCTTTATCGCTAAGAAATATAATGCGTTCCTCGTTGATACCACCCTATGATAACACTTGGGAACTTCTGTAGGCTATTATTGTTCATTGGAGGTCGGTCAGGTTGCAATCAATATCTCTGATGCAGTGTTAAGTTGCCCTTGGTGAGTGCCCATATGGCCTTACCTTAAAGTAATCTTGATCTCAGCGTGATTTTGACTAATACGGTTGTAGCACTTCCTTGTTATCTTACCTTATATGTTCATTTGATTATATCCAGAGTGAATATCAGTTTAATTTAGCAAGTGGCTGAGATTCAACTCAAGATCGGTGAACTCACTGCTACCAATAAATTTCTTGAAGGGAAGGTTATGGAATATGAGGAAAAGGAGAACACTCTAGCGAAGGTAATGGTTTTTGAGCGTTGACCGTATTGGCCACATATAGGCCATTTCGAGTTCATCACTGAGTTACAGAGAGACGTTTTCCTTTTCAGAAATTTCTCATCAGTGCTGGAACTCATTCTCTAAACAAAATAATGGAAATTATAATCATTTAGCAGAGCCCTCGTTGCAATTTATGGTATTCGAAAATAGTCTAAGGGCTTGCTGCCGTTAAATAGTGTGCTGCTAATGCTTAGTCCCCCAAAACTTCGATAATTCTAGGTTTTTTGTGTGATTCGATTCATTCCCACCGCAATCGCTAATCGGCTCGCAAGGCTTGCTAGTCATAACAGACTGATTATGGGATTAAATGTTCTCGCAATCTGATATACCTTGGTGGGGTTGCCGAAATTTGAAACCGTTCACGTTTTTTCGTACTTGTCGCGGTTGCTTTCATGGACTTGTGGTTTTTTTTGTGATCCTCAGAATGTCATTTACCGATACCGTGGTATTTAATCTCTTTTCACTTATTTTTGACGAGTTATAGGGTCGAATCTCCAATTTGTAACACGTATAACAAACTCTTGATCGAGGAGGTTCGATTTGGCGACCTCCTCTAACAGGTATGAGCTCTTAGCTTCGCTGTTTCAGCACTTGGCGGAAGCACAAGGTAACGCCGAATCAGCTAAAGCAGAACTAGCGGAATTGCAGAAGAAGCTCGTCGAAATTGAGGGCAGCTCTACTCTGACACATCAGTACTTGCTTGAAGAGTCGAACAAGGTAGTGAAATTATTTGTGAACTTGCTTTTCAGTAGTTCTGTCGCAACTAATTCATATAGTCATTCCCTCGAGTAGGGGCATGTAACTTGTTCTTCATGTTACTTACATATGTTTCAAAGCGACATTCAAAATCTATACCTGTTTGACGTGTTCCTATCGATTTCGTTTTCTTTGTTCCGAGTTTGTAAAGACTTCGCTTCCTATCTCAGGCTCGTTGGTGCCCTCTCAGATCAAGAGCTTTTTAGATTAAACAACAAAAAGCTGCGCTTCGGTGTGAATTGATAGAACTTCGCCGGGATTATAACAAATTGAAGGAGAAACTGGAGAAGGTAAAATTTACTGCGCTGATTCGTTTTCCAGCTTTCCATCTGAACGTAAAGATTGTTTGCTTTGAAGATGGAATCGATTAAAGTGGATGCAGAAGAGGTAGAAAAGCTGCGTGCTGAACTAGAATCGTCTCGTCGACGAGAAGAGCACTTTAAAAAAGAAGAGGCTCGGTTGAAGGAGGAGTTAGAGTCAACGCAAGAAAAAATGAGGGAGCTTGAAGAAGCGGTGAGTTTCATGGATTATGCCGCCTCTTCATTAAGAAATATGAAGCTGGTTGTTATTTCAGCTAAACATAGCAAAACAACAACAAGGAGACGTAGAAGTAGAGCAAAGCATGAATAGTGAATTGCGTGAAGAACTTAAAAAAGCGGAAGCAAAGCTCATTGAACTCTATCAGATGGTGGACACAGTAGACACGCAGTGCGAGCAGTACAGGGTATGGATTGTGCTGACATTGTTTTTTAACATCTTTGATCAAATCGATTCGGAAGCTTCATCGAATGCTATACAACCATAGTCGAACTTCAGTGTTACTATTTAAACGGTTTTGTAAGGCGTACCAAATGATCTGAGTTGGGAGAACAACCCTTGCCGGCACGACCGAGAGTCTTTCTCTGACACTCAATTTATATTTCTCTGGATTCATTCTATTAGGGTGAATTAATTCCTCTAGACAAAGATCTGTGCTGGGCTCCGAAGCCAGACGAGAGGGCTGATTAGTTCCAACTACTTATTTTTTATAGGTTGCATTTGTAAAAACTTTTTGTAGCTACTCAAGAAACGAGCTGACGAGACCAGGCAAAAGGCTTTGGATGAGTGTTCTCAAATGGCCACTAAGGTGAGTATTCCGCTTGCACTTGGATGAGTTTTGATCTTACTCCCCCGGTTCACTATTTTCATTTTCGTGTGTTCAGTTACGCGAAACGCAGCGCGAACTGGAACTTCAAAAGGCGTCTGAAGTTGAGGTCAATCAGTTGAGGGCTGAGAAGGATCGTCTAGAAATGAAAATTCGTTATCTCAATGTGAGTCTGTATTGATTTTCCTCCAACCATTCATAAAAATCGCGGCTTAGGATGAACTACGTGAGACTCACAACGACTATCGGGCTGAATTAGCCCAACTGGCTCGTCAGATCAGTGAGAGCAAACACAAGGATGCCACCGATAACGAGTCTTATGTTCAGAAGGTTGCTTTCTTCTCGCCTTCAACTCGTACTTACATTATTAAAAATCGACATTTTTTTGCAGATTGACGAGTTGAATAGGAAAGTAGGTCAAATGGAGAGTACTTCTCGAAGTGCAAGACGGCATTTGGAAGAGTTGAAGTCGGAAAATGAGAAGTTGCAGGAACAGGTACCACTGTGCCTAATACGTGATCATATTAATGAGAAGAGGGAATCAAATTCAGCCAAGACTTTTTTATGAGCCAGTCCGCCATAGACTGCTATGCCTACCCATTTTGGAATGTCTTTTTCATAATGTGACAGATGCTTCCATCATTGCTTTAATAACGCCCTAACCCAGGTTTCTGATGTCGCTGCTCGTGAACGAGAAGTCGCAAATGAGAACAAAAAACTGCGTTCTGGTTTGGCGGAAGCGGTATCGAAGATCGAACAATATAAAAAAGAAGCTGAAAGTTGTAAAGAGATGTGTAAGGAGATGGCGGAGCAACTTGGTGCAAATGAAGAGCAAATTGTAAGAGAAACACTCTGAAATTACGACTTCTTGAGAAGTTATTTTCGACTTAGTCATGACTCATTCAGCGTAAGTTGGAGGATGAGGTAGCGAACCTTGAGGAGACGTTGAGAGAAAAAGAAAAGCTCGAGGAATATCTTCAATCACAAGTGAAGGCAAAAGACATGCCCAAACTCAGCAGACGCAGTACTCTTCTACGAACACCCTCAGATATATCACTGGTTTGTTGTTCATTCGACTGTTTCCTCGAGAATTCGTTTAACTTCCACTTTCTTCGAGAGGGAGCAGTGACTGCGGAGGCTTGGCGGTTGCATTGTTAACGCTACTTATAAGGGTGCACTCATCTGTCAGTAGAGGGCTAAAGGTATAAGAAAACATTCACGGACGGAAAGATTCCGAAAGAAAGCTGAATTTCACTGAACAGTGAGTTAAAATACCACGATGGACTTTGAAGTATTAATTTATCATTTTTTAGGAAGTGATCGACCCCGTCATCGTTGAAGAGTTAGAGAATGAGAAATCGTCCCTACTGAGAGAGCTGGAAGAGAAAAAGAAAGGTGACAACCCACGCCGCAATCAACAACTTTCAAAAAACCGTGGAAAGTATGCTGTTGAAATTGCAGTTCTGATGTCGCGAAAAATGATGCCACCCCCTCTGCCGAAGGATCATCGATGTCTGCCATCTCCCATATACAGTAATCCGTACAGCGTCACGCCAACGAGAAATCCATTGGTGACATTGCAGTCGAAATCTGTCGGAGATGTTCGGGATTCATTTACTCAGAATAAGTCATCTGCAGTTGCTACTTCAAAACCACAAAAAGCGATAATGCGGCATGATATCCCTCACAGGTTAGTCTTCAAAATGTTTTCAAGCGCTATCTAACTTGTTTTGGTAAAACTCTAATTCAGTTTTTTTAGCTGGAACGAAGTCCGTAAATTCGGTGTGTTCAGCATCAAGTGCGCCGTTTGTTTCGTTGGAGTGCCAACGGTGAGCTCTTAAAGTGCCTATTATTAGAGCATAATTTCATTACTTATCAATAGAGACACGCTGATTTGCTTGTTACTACTGGTTCCGAATTTATGAACTAATCACCTTTTCTATTCGTTGTTTATTACTACCTTTGCATCGTTCTGACTGTAACGGGCCTCTGCTTTTTACCGGGAACCCACAAGGCCTTACCAGAATAGAACCTCTTGTGTTCGTCTATATTCTCTTCATCCCTATAGCATTCGATGCGCTCGTAGTATGGTACCACTGAAATGGATGGCCTCTTCTTTCTTTGCTTTCTCAACGCAAATTATTACGTCTTGGTTCTAACCTCCATACGGTGACCCTTATTCTTTCACCAGCGGCTGCTAGGAGAGTTTCATATCATATTCGCTCTCAAAGGTTGCCGACTGCTATTGCCTTTTTTGGAAGACAAGGTCAAGGCCTCGGCTATTCCCCTTTCGAGTGATGAATTGATCAATCTCACAAAGTTGGCGATTTATAGACAAAACTTCAGTATCGGACAGGACTTGAACCCGTACGGAGCACGGTGCACAGAAAGCACAAGTACGGGTTTGAGTCCGGTCCGAGACTGAAGTTTTGTACATAAATCGCCAACTTTGTGAGACTTTTTGAACGCGTTACTGAGGCGAAATAACAGCAGTTAACAAAACATCAAGTCATCAGATTGATCAATCTCTTTCTTCTTGAGGTGAATGCATGTCCGTGTAGCTCTATGTAGGGCCGGTATGTCCTGCAAGATATGGATCCTAAACGATTGGGAAACTCGTAGATCTCTAACTGAAAAATGGTAAAGTATTGCCATGTGTCCGCGTCTTTTCTTTTCGGACCATGAATCTTTACATCCGAAAACGCCTCAAGGCGGACGGTTCCTTCTTACCATTTTAGAAGATAGTGAAGAAGGATCTGCTTTTTGAGGCTGGAAACTCTGAGTGAATCCTTGAAATTTTTTCAATAGACTATAATGGGCTTTCATTCAGTTTGCAAAAAAGAAGCAATGTGAACACTGCAAAATCATCGTGCATTCGCATTGCTCGAAACGTGTTGGCAACACATGCGGTTTGTCTGATCAATGTGCCAACTTTTACTTGGACACCTATAGTAAACCAAATGGACGAATGAACGGATGGGTGCGATTGTTCAGGTAAAAGAGCAATTTTTAATAGTTTAAGACAATAATCTTTTGTAAGAGTCAGCATTTTCAGAGATGACAGTAATGTAAGAGAATGGCAGTCAGCATGGGGTGAAATGGACGAGAAACGTCTCGCTTTCTATGACAACGACTCGGTGCAGACTGATCTTCGAAAGCCATTTTTATCGGTTCGTTTATCAATCAAGTCGCGTTCGTTCAGCAGTCAATGTGATGGCCAACATTTCATCTTTATTTGTTCAACGAAGTGTGCTTTTATTTGCGTTTTGAGACCCTAAGCTCAAATCTTTTTTCATGCTCTGTCGATCGTTTTTTTTTTTTGGAAAAAAATTCGAAAACTCCCTCCTGTGCTGTAGGATTCTAAGCGTGCAGTGCCAAGCGTATTGAAACTTCTGTGGAAAGTACTCATCCTCAACTTGATCTGGATTAATCTCCTAGTCGTCAATTTTGGCTAACTTATTTCCAAGTAGCTCGTTTAGGTAGATCTAGAGAACGAACTAAGAATCGTTCGAGTCGGTAGTGAAGTGCCTTTGAAAATGGATAATGGACAAGTTTCCCACAACATCGTACACATAAAGACCGATAGGTAAAATTTTCCAGAATATTCACCGGGAGTATTGACTGAAATTTTCGTTTCAGTAGAAATATCTACATCCTGGCTCCTTCTATACAAACGGCAAAGCGATGGGCCGAGGCTCTGCAGAGTGCCTCAACCAGAAGGATGATGCTCACGCGACGGCCTAGCTCGTTCTCGGAGCAGTCCTGTCTCCTTGTGCTTTCAAAGCCTAACAATCTAACTATACATACTACTTGCGTAGGTTTTGGTAATATGCTCGTTAGGTTTAATGTTGAATACTTCTAAAGGAGTTGTTTCTCAGGTGATCGATGACTATCTTCTCATCGGAGCTCAAAGCGGTTTGTTTTATACCAATATGACCTCTGCACGAGTGCCAGTGAGGATTGGAGGATTCAACTCGGTCACAGCGGTTGGTGCTTTCTCATGGTCATTGACCTCCTTACCGAGTGGAACTCGCTGTTTCTTGCTTTTTGCCTATTTCCATTTTATCAGTTTCCTTCTGTTTTGTTTGAATCCAACAAAGAACTCGTCAGCATTCTGTAATATCCTGATTCAGATGGCGTGCCTAACAGATCTAAACATACTCGCTCTGATAATCGATCACAAGCGTTCACTGGCTCTTTTACCTCTCCCAGCACTCAAATTAGCCTTGAACGATCTTCACCCGTCGGTTCGACCAGATGTCGTTTCCGGCTATGATCATCTTCATGCTATTTCCTATCATCGTCAAGATGGGCAGCGGTAGGTCATCACTTTGAAGAGTTCCACCAACACTGACCATATGTTTAATACGTTTTAAGGTATTTGTGTGCAGCAAGCTCCGCCAAGATTTACGTTCTCAAATATAATGCAGCACGGGATGTCTTTACAGGACATCAGGTGAGTTATTTCAGCACCGGAAGTTTGATAACTTGAATCGAAATTGTAGATGATCGAAACAAGGGAACCGGCTATGTGCATGCTGTCTACGTGTAACGGTCTTTTCTTCGGAGCGGATAGCTTCTATTTCGTCCAACTAGCGCGAGGTCAACTGGACCCCGTACGCCTTGTTGAGTCGAGTGTCGCAGATTATCCAGTAGCTTTGCTTCAAATTCGGGACGATGAGATTCTGTTGGCGTACCAGAGTGAGTTACCCTTTTTAGGCAAATTACGTTCTCGGATAAATCTTAACTTCATAGATCATGGAATATTCGTTAATTCACGAGGGGAGCGGACAAGAAATGAAACGGTGGAGTGGGAACATATGCCGATGGAGTTTGGTAAGTGCCTGCGATTTGCCATTTTGTCCCGATTTTGCCCACGCGGTCTATTTTGTTTCAGAATTTACTGCTCCATATCTTTATGTTGTTCACTACGATTCCATCGAAATCTTGCAAGTGGCGGAATACACAGGACCAGATTCAAGGTCAGCTCGCCTTTATTTGATTTCTTAAATTGCATTTTTAATTGACTGCGGAAGTCGATTTAGTTGGATTTCTCCCTCCACTCAAAGAGGTGTCTCATAAGCCTAGTTAACTACGAAGCAGCTCTTGTTGAACGACAAAAGCTTCGGATGAACTTTGTTAAGCTCTACTCTATTCACTCGAATTTGTGCAGATTTAAGGGTTATGTTGCAGCTTCCCATAAGGTTTGGAGGAGTGAGGGATATTAGGCACTTCCTTTCTAACATCGTATAAATGCGTTAATGTAGGTGATCGGTCCTTGATGCATTGATATTGCAGTAAGCGTACAGCACTATCAATTTATTTTATGCAGCTTCCTGAGAATGCAGAAAGTCGTTAATATGCTTCCTATTGTTTCTAATTTGATGTGTTACGGCAGAGGGGAGAAGGTTACGCAACGTCCTGAGACATTCACCAACCTAGTCTGTCTATTGAGCACGATCGTCGAGTCCTCAAGGAGGCACGGATCATATATAGCCGCGCAACAACTTTTAAGGTCACGGGCATACGGTATCCTTCGGCCGAGTTTTGTCGGCACTGTGCCATAGCTTGATACGATTACGGTATCCAACACTTCCAGATAGGTGCATATGTCGAACGTCCTTCCAGTGCTATCTTTTCAGGACTATATTGGATGAACGTGAAGTGTTCGAATGCCGTAATGCGCACGTGGTATGCTGCCGTCCGAATGGAGACGTTCTCATATCAATCTCGAACACTGACAGCGTTGAAGTTCATCGTTTCAACGCCACCAACAGCAAACGAAGTGCTGTAAAACGGAAAGGATTGACGTCTGCCACATTTGACAAACGGTCCAGAGTTGTTCTTTGAGAGGGTACTGTTACAACTGTATCCTGTATTCCTTGAATACTTAAGTCTTCGAGTAGATGACACTCTTCGAATAATTCGCTGATACGTCTATGGTTGTAAACATATTTAAACAAATGCTTTTTCACTGTCACTTTCAATTTATATCCTAATCAATCTTTCAGATAGTCGAGTGTTAAATATCATATTTGTAATATATGAATCGGTTATATTGTAACAAAGCCATTAAAACGCTTGTCGTAGTCTTTATCGGTCATGAATGCTAGGAATGGGATGTTGAGCCAAACTAAACTTTCGTTTGTTATGGATTTATGTGCACGAGATAACTCGTAACGCATGTCGTTTGAAAAGATCTACTTGTTCGAGGAGCAACTATAGTCCAAAGAGCGCGCTGTTGACTAGATCTCGGTTACTCGCTACAATGCTGATACTCTCTTTCGAATGTATATTCGTGCAGTTGAATAAATGTGATTTACCATTGATGAAGTTTTGAAGTTTCACGATGATAATTCCGTTCTGGGTAAATGACCCTTGTGATACAATAGCTAACCGAATAAACAAGTAGAAATTTGTATGATTAGATTACGTGTAGAAAATCAATTTTTGGTGGGGATTCAATTTTCGACTTTGCTTCCTTTTTTTGCTCCCCCTCCCCTCGAACGGGAAAGCAGTGACAAACTGACAGCTGAGCAAAAAAAAAAGACCAGGGTGACAGTGTTTCCATAGGAAGGCTTCGAATAGTAGGAACCGTCAAAATTTCAGAAATTCGAACCAGTAGTAGATAATTTGGATGGAGCTCGTTATTCTGTTGTTGGAATGAAAAAATAGCACATTCACGAAGAATTGGGAGTTGGACCTCTTTGTGATGCATTCAGACTACGCTCCACTGACGTGCATTGTTTCTATCGGGAGAGGGCACATCCGTGCGTCCGGAGATGCGCGCGGCAAATTGAACCAGATAATTTAGCGCTTATTCTTGGGACCCAAATTTGAAGTACAATCGATTAGTATAGCAAAATCAACTGGTCACATTAGTCTTCTTTACTACTGTTGCTCACTGATAGGCGCCACGGTCATCAAAATCGCCATGAATTATGCCGTGCGCATCCCGGACGCACGACTATACTCGAACCCAGCCCGCTGCTTTCCGACATCAACGACGCAACCGGCGTGCGTGCGTCCGACCGACCGACGGCGCTTGTTGACAACAGTGGCACGCGATCCATCGGCGTTCAGTGTTGTCAACAGGCACCGTCGGTCAAACTAGGCACGGTTGCGTCGTTGAAGTCTGAAAGCAGCCACCGGCCGACCGATGAGATGCCTGGCCACGTTCTGACAACTCTGGACACCGATGGATCGTCTCACGCAGTCCTGAACGAACTTTTCTTGCGTTGTCAAAATGTTGCCGATAATCTCGTCGGTAGGCCGATCGACCAGTCGGTGGAAACAATGCACGTCGGTGGAGTGTGAAAGCACCCTGGAGGATGCTTATAATACGGTCTGGACTGACCTTATTCATCAGAAGAAATAACAATTCCTTTACCATTCATTGTTCAATAAAGTCATAGATAAAGTCCTATCGAAAGCTGTGAAGAAGGCTGAGTGACGTGTGGTAGGCGGGGTTCTGCGGTAAACTGCTAGAGATTGCTACGAATCCATCAGTTACTATTGCTGCTAGGATATTTGTTGTTGATATTATTTGCCATCAGTAAGCTGAATTTATTCTCGCGTTGAGCGCCAATTTCCATTTTTTATTTGGGATTTTCAATAATAGATGTTTCTTTAGTCCTGCGCATAAACATCGTATTAACAATACCTAGTATTTTATAAATGGTACGAATGGTATAAGAAATAGCCACGCTCCTTTTTATCCGATTTGCGGTGCAATGTGAGTGTTCAGTCGTCGTCCTCTCTAGATTCTTCTTTATGAGCATCTAGTGCAGCTGGAGTGAAGGCGTGTGGCAGTAGATCGACAAGAGGCGTCTCAAGTACTTTATCGTTTTTCGACGATCCCATAAGAACCTGAAGAGAAGCCGGTTTTTATTGGGAGGTGAGTACGGTCCCAAACGCATATCCCGCAGTAATCCGGTTTTGCAGTAAAGTGCCATTGAAAACCATACTATAATTGGCAATAGTAGGGACTGTGTCGCAAAAACAGGCTGGAATCAGATTGCTCAGGCCTCCATTCTGGCGAGACTGGCTTCTTAGGAAGCCCCACCCTTTCAGAGTTGAGGTTCCCGAGAAGGCGTCGCAGAACAGTGCATTTTATTTTATTCGAAAGTAGTGCTCTCTTCCGCTTAGAGACTCGAAACGCTAGGATGTAGGCAAGCGAGTTTCTCACAACATTTACTTCTCCGTCTCCAGCTATGCGAAAGAAACTTCCTTCCAATGATTTTAAACATTTCTTCACGATCTGGCCTATTGCCAATGGACCATTGAGCAGCTGCACAACAATTTCTGAGGCTTTTTTTTTCTCACACCCAGCTACCGAGGAAAAATATTTTTGGAAAAGACGGCGACGTACCCTACAGTTACCAAATTCAATCAGAAATTGCCTGCACATTCCACACGGGCTACCAGGCTCATCGAGTTCAAGAACTAGAAAAACAGTTTGGTGGAAATTGCAAAGATTACGCTTTCTCTGTTGTGAGGATGAAGTGCTCACCGATAGCAATGGCTCTAAATTTGCGGAATCCTTTAGAAAGAGCAGTAGTGATGGCGTTCCGTTCAGCACAGATTGTACCTCCATATGATGCATTCTCACAATTTGCTGTGAATTATGTGGTATAATAAAATGTCTTCTGCACTGAAGTCATTCTAGAATTTTGCTCAAACCCGGCGCACGAGAGAAAGGGGAAAGCATGGGACAATTACTGAGTGCGTGATTCAGCAAAATGCTTTCACCATCCCGTTTTCATCATTAATTGGAAATGTGTGTTTTCCTTGAGGTCTTTGATTCCCTCGACTGCTATTCACTTCTTAGAAGCAAAATGAAAGGGCAGGTGATTGACTACACGCACATTTCATCTTTTCCCCTGGTCGATGACTAAGCTTCCCAACCTGGAATGCACCCTTCCTTATTTAGTCTTGGTAAGCTGTCAATAGAGAAATGGTATAATTACCTCCAACAATTATTGAATCATCGACAGTCAAAAGAGCAGCACCAACGGGAAAATTGCTATATGGACTGGAATTAAAGGAATGATAAATTCATTAACAGATGACCCATTCTTAATTATGGCCTGTGGGTATGCCGGTTGTGTGGGCGGAGTCCTCAATGGCTGCTTTCATAGTCCACGATTTGGCCCACGACCGGTCGCGGGACAAATGTTATGTTATGTTTATTACATGACCACGCATGTAAGTTAAATCAATACAATTGGAAAAGAAAAACAATACAACACATACGCTAATGCAATTGGAAAAAAAANAAAAAAAACGAAAAACGCAACACACGGGAGTACGTGACTATTATTCTAAAGCAGCTAATTGAATAGTAGGAGATTTACTCAACTTTTGGTATAGCGACCCGACTCTATTAACAAAGAAGTTAGCTCTCACTGAGGTTTTGGGTAAAGACAGCACTAGTTTGAAGAGAGGTCCTCTTGTATTCGATGGCGACACTCGGAAAAAGGATTTTCCTATTTTAACCTCCTCTCTCAAGATTTTACGAACCATCGTTAAATCTTTCCTCTTCCTCTCTCGACTATGAAAGATCGTGGACTATGAAAGCAGCCAAACCGTCACGCAATCTGCATTTCTGGTGCGCACCAATGAGAAACGCCCAGTGCTCTGATCAACTCCGCCTACCCATGTACAGCACCGGAACAGCTTGAAAGCTCACCAATAAGCGTGTTTCATCACTTCCTTAGCCGCATCCAACAGCTGCTCGTCACTGACCGTCATTTCTCTGACTAGTTATTGTTTTAGGAAATTTTTGATTTAAAAATACAGTGTAAATACAGTGGTTAGAAGGGTGTTGGGGGGGGGGGGGGGGGGNGAAGCACACTGAACAGTGTTAGTATAACAAAAAATTGGCACGGTGTTACGTGGCATTCCGCGTCATACCAGTGAGATACAATTTGCCTTGGGAGGGAAGGAGGGATGGGCGAGTTGTAAGATTTCTCTTGTGGTCATCATCTCACCCACCTTGGGCTCCAACCCTCCCAAGGCTCAGTTAAAAAGGCTACTTTCCTTTGGATTTAACCGCGTAAAAACGCACATAAGGCCGGTGACATCCTCCACTTCATCTCTCTAGTATAGGACTAACACCTAACCATGTGTTATTTGTTGTTATACTAACACTGTGTGCTACCTAGAGACGGAACATTTGTGCGTCCGGGTATGGGCGCAGCAAATGTACAAACGTATGTACCCATACCCTTTGCCACCCCTCATCCCTCAGCCCCCACAATTAAACTTTCACCAAAAATACCTTCTCAAGAGTAAGCAGTATTTCGTAAACTTGGGGATGAAATAAGCAGAAGACTCGAAAGCAGCAACGAAAAAAGTGAACGTCACCCGTTGTTATGAGATGCGATTCATCCTAATGTATAAAATTCGCTAAGTGAGTCGCTTGGTTTGCCGGTGGTTGTGCTTAGTGTACGTCGGTGTGGAAGTTTAAACTGGAAATACATAGCTTCTGTTTCCGTTAATCTATAACATCAAGATTTGGTCGGAGTACAGGGTGCAGGATGCGAACACTGATGTTAGGTAGCAGGATTAGATTACGCCCCCGGGGTTCGGGTTGTGCGCGAAATTGTTTATTCGGTCCCAGAGCGTTCAAATTTGGTAGGAATACAGGAGGCTGTGTGGGAACACTGAGCATAGGTGGTAGGAAATGATAGCGATTGGTGATGGTGGCTGACAGGGACTGTCGCCTTAGAAGGCAAGAGCCGCGGGGTCCGTCAACTGCTTAGTGTTAACGGTGGAGCCATGGCACTTCAGTAGGTGATGTGGACCAAAGAGCGACCGTAGATGTTTGGTGATAGGAATTGACGGCAACTGTTAGGGACCGATAACGAGCCATAGGAGGCTCGAGCCACTAAGTCTGTAACATCCTTCGTGTTGACAATAGAACCTTGGCATTTCAATTGATGGCGTAAGACGTAACAAGGTGTGTGTACTCTGTGAGAGGGACTGGTAACAACTGATAAGGGCCTCAGAGAACAAGTGCCACCTACCAATTGAAATCCTAACGCCTCCGATATTTAGGATGTAAGATGCCATTTGATAAAACGGGATGGTAGAGTAGGATGACCTACCCTACCCAGCAAGGTTCAAGAACCCATGAAAATTCACGGGTTGATTTTCTCGATATCACTCACGACAAATCCCAACCTCCAATAATCTGAGATTCCCAACAAATGATATATCTGTTGGAAGGGATCTGCATGGATGATGCCATTCGATAATAGTGTGATTATCACTTGACAACATTCGTGAGAAGCATTCAGGGCTTTGGTTGCCTATAGCTGAACCTTTGATGGGGTCTTATGTCTAAGATGAAGATCCAGACTTTTAATCTAGACCCAAGCAAGCATGTTGGGTATCACGCCCTGCTAGTCCTGTGCTAAAATCGGAGTTCGAAAAGGTATAATTAGTTTCATAGAAGGAATGACGGGTCAGAGATTATTACAACTCTGTCATAAGATGGAGGGAAGTCCGACATCTGCCAGGTGATCCGACTCCGATCCTGAACTACGGTTGAACACTCTATCAGTCAGGTCATTACTCAGCAGTCGCATAAGGAAAACAAACGAACGAACCCAACAGAAATAGAGACACGTAACCATACTAGGGTTCAGTAGTTATTCATCATGGGAGGGTAACTACTCATCAGTGGTCTTGGGAGAAACATGAACGAGTAGGCCTGCAGCAAGGGTAAACATACATTACCTAACTAAAGTTTGACACCCCATTTATCAGGAAAGCCTTATCAGTTGGTAACCACGTTAGAATAACGTGCTCTATGGCACTGCGCCACCGCCAATGCGTAAGCAATGCTCGACCGACAATGCAATTAACAAAGCTCAGACCTGCTGTTTATTGCGGAGTGTTGTTGGAGTGGGTGATTAGAACTTAAACAACAAAATCAGACAAACACTACTTGCTGCAGTTGCGTCGCGGCCTTCGCACTGGAGCACGTTATTTTGGTGTGTCTAGGCACTGCGGGAAGGTCTTCAAGACAGGAGAGTTCCTCTTTCGTAACTCTGCTTATTGGCGGTTACGTAGCGCGCTCAATCACGTTATTTTAAGTTGATTACCAGTTGTAAGAAGTAATTTTCTATGATCAACGGGCTGTTAAACTAGTTTAGTAATGTATGTCTCTTTCCTGCACGTTTCCTCGTTCATGTTTCTTCCAAGACCATTGATAGGTAGTTACCCACCCCTAGTGAATGACTAGTGTACACTGTTATGTGTTTCTATTTCTATCGCATGCTTCTTGGTTTGTGTTTCTTCTGAGACAACTGCTGAGTAGTGACCTTGATTGATAGAATTCTGAACCCTGATTTAGGAATATGCCAATTTCTATACAATTGATTCATCAAATCGAAAGAGGCTACGGATGACGATGTTAAAGTCAAAGAGGGGTTTGAAGAACATCCACACGTTGTGTGTAATCGCCAGCGGCTATGCAGAAAGAAAACAGAAAAGCTTATTAGCTGGGGATTGAAACAAAGGCAAGGCATGAGGGCGCGAGGCGAACTTAATTAGGTGTGGAAACTCCATGATCATTGTGCAGCTCGCATATCGATATGCAGCAAGTTAAAGTTGTTGAATGAAGAGAATAACAGCAGTGAAAAACCAATGCTCCAAAAAAAANAAAAAAAAAACACTTAAGACGCGGTTCATACTCTATAGCATTTCCGTTTCGTTTCGCATTTCACATTTTACCTGTGCACAAAAACAAAGTTTCTGACCAGCATTGTTAAAACTTTTCCAGTTCTTAAATTTTCTCAAGATGCTTTACCTTCTTAACTAAGATGAGGATTCAGTCCGGCACTCGGCTCTTACAGTAACCCCCTGGCTTACCCTACCACCCACCCCCGTGTCCTTGCCCAAAGCCCCTTTTCGACGCGTCATATATGTGACGGGTAAAACTATGCGTATTAACACGTGCCGGATTACTGTAAGAACCGAGTGCCGGACTGAATTTCCGTTCCTGTTACCTTCTTATTGTTATTCTCTTCAGTTTTTAATTTTTTTACTCGCCATGCTAAAGATATGCAGACGGTGGAAATGTAGTCCTCACACTTGATTAAGATTGCCTCGCACCGAGAGTGCGAAAAGTACTCAAGTGTACAGAAGTTGGCATACCCTCAAACCAGTGTTCAACCCTCTATCAGTGAAGGTCTCAGAAGGAACACAAACCAGGAAGCATGCAACAGAAATAGAAACACCGAACCAAGCAGTGTTCAGTAGTCACTAGGGGAGTATAACTACCCAACAGTGGTCTTGGAAGGAACATGAACGAGAAAACGTGCAGGAAAAGAAACATACATTACAAAACTATGATTTAACAGCCCTTTGATCATAGAAAATTACATCTTACAACTGGTAATCAACTTAAAATGACATGTTCAAGCGTGCTACGTGACCGCCAATAAGCAGAGTTCTGAAAGAGGAATTCTCCTGTCATCATGGCCCTCCCGCAGTGCCTAGACACTCCAAAATAACGTGCTCCAAGGCGAAGGCCGCGACGCGACCGCTGCAAGTAGTGTTTGTCTGATTTTGTTGTTTAAGTTCTTCTGAGTGGGTGAGCTTAATGCGTTGTACGGTTGAGGGTCTTTTCAAAGTGTTAGTTGGTTGTGATTTTGGTTTCCCTGCAGGGACTTCAATCCTCGTCCCGACTGTGGATTACTCAATTAGGTTCAACTTGCCCTCATTCCATAAATCGACTGGAAGAGTGATACTTCATTTTGCAGTTGTTTCTCGTAGTCCTGAGCGAAATAGATTTTTTCCGAAGAGTCGGAACTATGTGGAGACCTTTTTAAGTCCTCGTTAAACTTTCGCCGTATTTCACCTTTTTCCGACCAGTCGTTTCTCTGTGGATCTCGAAGATGTTCTTTACCTTTGTCATACTTTTTGCCCTGAGCTACATTCTCTTCTTAATATCGTTTTTCCAGAAATGCCGCCGAAAAAGGCAGCAGGGAAGAAGAACAAGGACGACGACTGGTGAGTAGCTGCAGAGTTTCCAATCAGTGCCCGATATTCCCTGTCTTTTTTGAGCTGGGAATTAGTTTTGCGAATTTATAGTTTGTGTCTTAGGGATGACGAAGCTGCTGAGCGGAAATTAGCGTCATTAACAGCAAAGAAAGATGATGACGAAGTAAATTGGGATGATGAAAGTGGTGACGACATACCTGTGATGACGAAACCAGCTTCAGGCAAAAAGACAGCCTTTGCAATGCTGGTAACTATTCACTTAACTGGGTTACTTATTAAAACTGATTTTGTTGCAACAACGAGATTATTAATTAATTTGTATGTGTTTAGTTCTTTGAGGAATTTCTAGAAATTGAATGTGAATCTTTCTGATACGATTTTCTTTTGCATTTTTCAGGCAAAATTCTTAATCTTTTGAAAAAGAGCGTTAGCAAACGGATTACAATGTTCTACCCTCACAAGGGCCTCTAAAACTGTTGCCTTGAAATAAGAGGTTGTTTTCAATATGAAAGTGAGAGTTGAGGCGTTACTCTTCTATGTTCAGTAGCATTGCGTTACTTGCGCGAGACTGTTCTTTTTCCCGGCATCGTCCAATTTTTGGGCCCTCTATTTTGTAACAATCGAAATCGAATGTAAGAATATAAATCATTTTGAGAGGCTTGCGGTTTGTAATACCGTAACTTAGTATCCCATTGGGGTGCCTCTCTGTTAGGTGTTTCGCACCGAGCGTCTTCATAGTAGGTGCGTTTTTCTGCAAATACATGCGTAAAAAACAAAAATATGAGTAAAAACGGAGTAGTCGACGTGGTAAACGTACCTACTATGAGTGCGCCTGATGGGAAGTGTGCAACACAGTGCACTACATAAAGCAGTGTGCACTGCTTCGAATGCTTTGAAATTTCACGCTTCTTGAAGGCATACGGCAGTGCAGATCTCACCTTGAATGGCCACTGCGACCAAGTATTCTTCCCTTGTTAGAGATAGTGACCCTTTTTTAACATTTAACGTGTAGGGAACGGAATGATGCATGACTTGGACTGTAGTCAAAAATTCAGTTATCGATCTGATTCTACAGATTACTCGCTTCAAAGTACATTGCTTCAAAGTAGGCTTTGGCGAGTGAACAGCAGGCCAGCTAGCGCGTAGAAATCGCTAGTTACGGCTGGAAGCACTGGGGTTGGGGAGTTGATAGAGAACTCAAAAGCCAAAATTCTACCCTGCGAGTCAAACTCTGGAACCAATCTATGAACTGTTTTTCAAACATATCCTTAAAGGTTTAGTGATAGTCTCCGATCGCGATAGTATTCTAACCACTGTAAACTCTTTTCTTCAGTTTTCCTTTCATAAAGCGTTCTTTACAAGACGCTGAATTATGCACAACTTGGATTTTGCAGATGGATGATGATGGTGACGATGATAGCGACGCTAGGTCGGCATCAGATTCCGAAAAAAACGAAGAGGCTAGTTGTTCGTGCATGCTTTTCGGGTATTATGATTTTTCGTTTCGCCCACAAGTGCTTTGCCCGTGAACTGAACGAGTAATAGGTTGATGCATAATTGTTGCGGTTTTTTTTCGTGGCTTCTTTTCTCTCGATATAATTTCAATATCGATTTCAGGATTTTCATAGATTTATTCTTCTCATTTTCCTTAACAGAAATGTATCTTGAAAGTAATCTTCGTATTCCCACAGTATGCTCTGCTGCTTCGAGAAATGTTGGAAGGTGGCATAGTCATAAAGTGATCTCAACGAACTTCTCGGCGATGGAACAGTCAGCCAAAGATATGGAAGGGATGGATTTGCACCTACATCGCCCTATCCACCAACATAAACTCCTGTGGATTATCACGTCAATCGTCGGTTGGAAAATTGGCTAGCGAACGGAACTTACGACGAAATGGATGACTTGGTGGTCGTTGTCAAGGCGTGGATCGCCTCCTTCAGATTCAAAACTTCTTCGCCTGAAGAGTCCGACTGCCTAGCAAATGCTAAGCATGCTTGAAGTAGATGGTGGAAATGTTCCGGAGTGATTGTTTGAACATTCTTTGCTAAACATTTTTTATAGTTTTCATGGAAAATTTGCTGAAAATTTATGATAAAATAACTATGCAACAACCTAATATTATGTGAGTGCTCCTGAAAGTCTGTGCGCCGCTGATTGTCTCCCTGGGTTGAGCAGCTGTTAATTTCGTCAGCGAGCACCGATATTATGCTGGAAATCAAGATTTTTGCGTTCGAATGCCACCTTCAAAATGCGAAAGTCTGTTTATTGAAAAAACCGTTCCTAATGGCTGAAGTCTAGGTGGTCGAAAAGAAGCCTGTTACACAAGACAAGAAACAGGAGAAGAGGCCTGAACCATCGGCGCAAGCAAAACAAGATAGCAAGAAGAAGACTAAGAAGGGTAAAAAGGTATATATTCATATGATTTTGATTTTGATTTTATTCGTGATTTCACGTTAGGAGATATTTAGGGAAAGCAGGAAGAGGACGACGATCTAGATGCGATACTAGCTGATTTGGAGATGAATGATAAAGCAGCTCCTACCAAAAGCAAAAAGAAAGGTGGAAAAAAGGGGGAGCATGAGTCCACCCCAGTTCCTGAAGACAGTAAAGAATCAACACCCGCAGTGGTGGAGCCAACTCAAGGTTTTTACTCCATTTCTTAACTAGTTCTTTTTTAGTTTTTGTTTTCGCCAGTTTTGTTATTTATTTTGTTATAAATTTCTAGCACAACTTATGCACGGGAAATTGCCTTTCTTTAAGTAAGTGCACACTTTTATTTTGCAGTTCCCACTCCACCTGAAACTGTAGAAACGGTTCAAGATGAAGGCAAAAAGAAGAAGAAGAAGAAGAAGGATAAGAAGAGAGGAGATGTAGATGAAGAAGAGCAAGCAGAGGAGAAGCCTTCAGTAGAGGCATCTGTTGAGGAGAAGCCTGCAGCAGAGAAGCCTGCTGAAGAGGTAGGGGACTCTCAACAATGGTGGTCAAACCAATCTTTGGATACTAAAGAAGAGAAATTACTTTTTTTCATTTATTGCTCTCCATTCGCTATAGATCTGCGAATATATTCTCTTTTTTACTTAATTACCTGATAATAGTCAATATACAATATCGCTCTGTGTTTTAGACTTCGTTAAATGATAGGAGCTCTGGTCCCTACTCAGTAACATCTCATAACTTACAAGTTTTGAATCAAAACTTTAATGAAGTTTCAGAACCACTTTTGGAAAATTGATACTGTAGTTAAATCTATGCTGATGTCCATATATAAGAAAGTACATTCTGTCTTCTAGGAAACAAAAGAGCAAGGTGGTGGTGACATTGACGAAGCACATGAGGATGGTGACGATGATGCTGCTAAAGAAGAAAAAGACAAAAAGAAAAAGAAGAAGGATAAGAAGAAGGACAAAAAGAAAGAGGAAAAAGATGATGGGAAGGGCAAGAAGAAGAAACATGTATGTTATACATTTCATTTTTTGGGTTTCTATACACACTGTTCTTACTTCTTATTTCGGCAGGTGGACATGATTAAAGAGCTCCTACGTGCCAAGCAAGAAGCCGAAGAGGCCGAGTTGCGCAGGCAGAAAGAGGAGCAGGAGCGTCTCGAGGCCATTGCTCGGGCTAAAGAAGAAGAGGTAAGCGGAACAATGTATTTTTGTGTAGTTGTCTGAAGTTACCGAAGTTAACAGTAGTTTGTCTTCGTTTTTGCGAGATGGTGAGTTCTAGGAGCGGATAGCTAAGGAAAAGCGAGAAGCCAGAAAAGCCAAGGAAAAAGCAGCCATCGAACGCAAAAAAGCTGAGGGAACATATATGACTGCTGCTCAACGTGAAAAGCAACGTATAGCTGCGGCTAAGTTGGCTGCAGCTGGATGTGAGCATCCTTTTTGAATACGGAAATAAGTAGTAAATAACCGTGAAATTAATTTGCTCATAAACTAAGTGGTTGTTCATTTCAGTGACGAAGCCAGTACCAACAGTCAATGAGCATGTAATTTATGCCAACCTGGATCGACGCGCTAAGAAGAAGTTGCAGGAACAGAGACAAAAGGAAAGGGAGGAGCAGCAAAGGCTTCAGCAGCAAAAGGAAGAGGAAGAAGCTGCCAGGCTTGCGAAGGGTTTGTTGTCAATAACTTTCCTATACGAAGTAACTATATTTTCCAACATCTTTTTAGAAGTCTCAGTGACGCCCCCTTCGTCTAAGGAGGAGACTCCAGAGCCTAAGTCGCCTGAAACGGTATGTTGCTTGAGATCGTGATCAGCAGTCAATCCGAGTAGTATAGACGGTTTAATCATTTCATAAACTATGTCTGCCTTCCTTCCTCATTTTGTAAGAATACCCTTCCTATTGAGAACGGCATTGAGGATGGAGGTCTTTTCATGAAGCTGCGCTCGATCTTTTTTTTCCTCAGTAGCTCCTGAAAAGGGCAACTCTAACACTCGTGACCAGTAAAGGCTATTACGTCTGGCCGTTTCGAGATTACTAAAATGACTCAACTCTCTCCCAACTTGCTAGATTGCAGAAAGCTGTATACTATTATAACCATCAGTCAAAGGTCGTCTTTGTAGCAATGGTGTGTGATGTTAGACAGGGCAAGAATTTTATTCGCGCGTTAAGAATCACTTTCAATTCACATATAAAGCGTTTGTGGCATCTTTCGGGAAAATCCACCACTCGGCGAGCACGAAAGGCCATCGCTCAGCCTAATAGCAAGCACCCTTGTAACGGCATATAGTGATTACTAGTCAAAAGATGTTTTGTTCATTTGGAAGTGAGCTGTTTCCCTAAGGCGTGGCTGTCTTATATATTTATAAAAAGCGTTTCCAACACAACTATTTTTCTTTCGCTTGGTTCTTTTTTATCAACAGATCAATTCAATGCGATATAGACCTAGCGCGATTTTGAAAAAATTTTGCTTACACTAAGTGCTGTTATAGAAGGAACCACTTGATGATTGGGAAATGGTTCTTCAAGAAGGTAAACAACAACAAGAAGCTGCGAATCGCGCTGAAGCTGAAAAGAACGAAGTAAAACCGGCACCCCTCGTTATTGAACGGTTGTCATCGGAGGCGAGGAAAGTATGTTTATTAGTTTATCTGCCCCTATTCTTCCCGTCGAAGCATGTTTGGTGGTGTTAGAGCAGGGATGAAGAAACTGAAGAAGAATCATCCGAAGAAGAAAGCTCAGAAGACGAGAGTGAAAGTGAAGAAGAATCGTCAAGTGAAGATGAGTCACCGAAGGCAAAACTCACAAAGGAAGAAGTTATGGAAGCCGTGCGACAACGACTAATCGTAAGTAGCATGTTAGGTGTTCCGGCATTGGAAACATTCTCAGTTTCTTACAAGTCTTCGAATCTGTTCTCCCACAGAAACGTCGTGAACTTGCGGAATCCAAACGTTCTAAGGACAATTTACGCGCTCCGGTCATCTGTGTTCTTGGACATGTCGATACTGGAAAAACCAAAATGCTGGATACTGTAAATTATTGTACCCTATTTAGTTTTATTGAATTGTATTAGCCCTTTGTCTTACTGCTTTAGATTCGACGAACAAATGTACAAGACGGTGAGGCGGGAGGAATTACGCAACAAATTGGTGCCACCCAGGTTCTATCCTTTTCGTGTAGTCCCATTATACTTGGTCCTTCAGCCGTTATTGTTCAGGTCCCGGCTGATGCGATCAAAGAACGGTGTAAGCAAGTAAGGGACTTCAATCCTGATGCGGTCAAAATTCCAGGCTTTCTCATCATTGACACACCGGGTCACGAAAGTTTTGCGTAAGGTTTCGAAATGATGAGCCAGAACTTTGTTTTATTTTGGCGTTCGGACTTCGCTGCTTAACAGCCCATGACATGTTTGTATTTATAGTAACCTCCGATCACGTGGATCATCGCTTTGTGACTTCGCTATACTGGTTGTGGACATAATGCATGGACTGGAACCCCAGACAATCGAGTCACTGAAGTTATTGGTGAAAAGGAAAACACCGTTTGTCGTCGCCTTAAATAAAGTCAGTTTCGCAAGGGAAAATGGAGCTGTCATGTATCAGGCCTAGAAAAAAGCCTTGCCTTAAATTTTACCTTTGTCATATCACAGTTTGATATGTCCAATTCTGTTATGATAGTTTCAATCGAGCCCGATAATGTGACCGCTTGCTGCTTCCTGAAACCTGGTCCTATCATTAAAGAGAGCAAGAGGTCTCAGCTCCAAATTATGACAAAGTGTCAAATTCTTTACGCCCCTTGGCATCCCAGGCTCTTGGTTCATTTCGATTCTCAATCACTGCTTACGAAAAAAAAAAGATAGTAGGCCAACAGAGTGAAGATACAGGATTTTTTATTCGGAGCGGTTTTGGCAACCTCTTTAGCTGAAAAGCGTATATCTGAGTGGTCGGCGTGGACAAACAGGAAATATAAAAGTATGAGCATTCTTTGACAGTTCTTCCAGCAGCAGAAAAATACCAAGATTTTTCTAACTCTAATTGGGAAGGGGCTCATCGGCAGAAAGCGTCCAATTCGACGCTTTTTCAATCATTTGAAATTCTGACGTCGGTCCATTTAGGATTCTGTTCGAACCTTTTACGTTTTCTTTTCATGACTTTTACGTTTTACGTTGATTCATTTAAAATTCATTCTATGATGGGGTTTTTCTATCTTTCCTCGTTTTAAACCGCACAAACTGCCTTTTTATTAATATTAGATTGATCGATTGTATGGGTACGAATCAAATCCACGCAAAGATGTTTACCAGCATTTGAAATCGCAACCACAAAACACGCAACTAGAATTCAAAGAACGCTACGATAAAATTGTTGGAGAGTTCGCTGAGCAGGTACGTGGGTTGAGCTTCTACTGGCTCATACTAGTTGTCGAGTGCACGGTTTGTACTTACGGAGGATTACTTTTAGGCTCTCAACGTTTGTTTGTCCTACCAAAATAGGAACCTTGATGAGTACATCAGTATGATTCCCACTTCTGCTTACATGGGAGACGGAATAGGTATGATTATATGAATATTGAATGAATTGAGAAAGGTAGAAAGATTGTTGCTCAGGAAATCTCATGGCTTACATTGTTGGAACAACGCAAAAGTATCATGCCGATAAACTGGCGTTCAGCGAGGAGTTGGATGCTACCGTAATGGAGGTGAAAGCGATCCCAGGGCTTGGAACAACAATCGATGTGATTCTCGTGAATGGGCGCCTGAGAGTAGGCGACATTATTGTTGTCACTGGTACTGAAGGCGCAATAATGACTCCGATTCGAGAGCTTCTGATGCCGCAACCACTGAGGGAGCTTCGGGTTAAGGTATCTCTTTACTTTTCCGCAACAACTTTAACTCTGTACTTTTGTGGTCTGTTTCTTTTTACATTTTCCGATTTGAATTTATAACACATAGTGGTTTGGTATTGAAGCGCTTTCTCAGTGCTTTAGCTGAATCGTTTCAGAACGAGTACGGGCATTATAAAGAGGTACAAGGTGCACAAGGAGTGAAAGTTTTAGCCAAAGGTCTAGAGAAGTGCTTGGCGGGCCTTCCGTTGTTTGTCGCTCATAAGGAGGATGAAATTGACTTACTCAAGTGAGTTTTCAGGATCTAGCTCATATTTTTCTTTGTGATTGATATCCCACTATTCTTTCAGAAACGAAGCGGAACAGCAACTGAGCCGAGCACTCATGGCCATAAAGAAAAAGCCTGAAGGAGTATACGTGCAAGCAAGTACCCTTGGGTCTTTGGAGGCTTTGTTGGAATTCTTGAAAACACAAAAAATACCGGTGAGTCTTCACTCTTTTCTCATGATCTCCTTATTTATTCCACTCTCTACTCTTCATAGCAGATTTACATGTATCTCTTGTCGCGAGCGCAAAGCTTAACCGTACGCGACTATTTGCTTGTGCGTCGCTACGAGAGACTTAGCTATTTGATCTAGTCCACTACTTGAATGCTCTTTTTTATTAGGAATCCTGGCTGAGCAAGCCAAGGTCCAGTGACTGATGACAATCCTTTTGACTACTGTCATACGCTCGCCTTCCTGTACCCCGTGACTTCCCCAGGCAAACCTCTTACTTTGCACGCACTCTTGATGCGCTTTGTGAGCGGAGGATCTCATGTAACTTCCATTATCATACCTGCTTAAAAACAGTGGCTAGAAAGCATAGCGGGTTATACATCGGCTCTGCTGATGGAATCTCCTTTTTTTCAGTACTCAAACGTCAATATCGGTCCCGTTCACAAAAAAGACGTCCAAAAAGCTGCAGCTATGCTTGAGCACAAAGCTGAGTAAGTCGACTGGTAGTTTTCACGATAGGTTTTATTGTTTCTTCAAGAAAGTATTGTAAGAAATTCAAGTCTGCTTATGTCAGGTATGCTTGTATTCTTGCTTTTGACGTGAAAGTGGAACGAGAGGCGCAAATGTTTGCCGATCACGAGAAAGTGAAGATTTTCCAAGCTGATATCATTTATCACTTGGAAGATAACTTCCTCAAATACAGGTCCTTTTGAAGTGTTTTTTTTTTTTTTGATCTCAGGGGATTCATTGATAGTACTGTCCTTTAGGGAAGAGCTACGACTGAAGGCGCGCAAAGAAAATGAGCATTTGGCTATTTTTCCTTGTAAATTACGTATTCTCCCACAGCACGTGTTCAATGCCCGAAATCCGATTGTATGTGGAGTAAACGTTGAGGCGGGACAACTCAAGAGAGGAACACCGATTTGTGTGCCAAGCAAAGAAGTAAGCTGTCGTAACCGTTACGCGAGTCTTTTATACAATTATTCATTACAGTGTATTTTCCTGGGTGCTGTTGCGTCGATAGAAAGGAACCATGAGGAAGTACAAATAGCTAAGGCAGGAGATGAGGTATGTTGTCATTTTTATTTCGTCGGTACACCTAAGAGAGGGCTCAATGAACATTATGTTCGCTACGTGCATGAAAAGCATAGAATATTCTTTGTCTGTGATAGAGCTTTCGAAGCATAGCCGTGTCGTGAACTAGCGAGCTACGCATGGCTTAGATTGCCCAGTTCCGTGGCTCAGAAATCATCCAATCTGGGGATATCCGTAGTAAGATTGTATGGCAGCTGAGGAGTGTAGCTACGAATTAACCATATTTTTTTTTCAAAACAGCTCGGTGCAAGATTGTCGGAGACTATGAAGAGTAGGGTGCTTCGCGACCCTCGAGCAAGTACAACTCTGATGTGGCAGAAACCTGGGGTTTTCTAGCGAAAGCTTAGCCGGGCTTCTTTCGTCCTTTCGCTCTAATACACCTCCCCTTACTTAATCCCTATCGTCCCGCCTCCTGCAATTAACCAACATCATCGAAGTATTTCTTCCGCGCTTATGCGATCCTTATAAATTCTGTGGAACTCGCTTGACAATTGTTTCCAGCAGAGAGTGTGTTATAATTGTTCATTGATTTACACATTTTTTAGGTGTGCATCAAAATTGAAAATACGACCGGTGAAGCACCAAAACTGTACGGACGGCATTTCAACCACGAAGACATACTTGTCAGTAGGGTAAGCAGTGAATTTTTGTGAACTATTGCTTTTTGGGAAGCTCTTGCGGAGAGACGCTTTTATAGTATCGTCCACGAAAGGGGAAAAGAGTTCCGTGTTTGCTCCTTATCGTAGAAAATTGCTTTCATAGTGAGAGGGTCGAGTTTATACCGCGGGGCCAAGAGTTTTCATGTCTATTTTCTGGATGTAGTCTAAAATCCTCGGTTTGAGGTAGAACTGGCTTACCGCTGTATCTGTTTTTTCTAAACTTTTCGCTCAGATCACTCGTGAATCGATCGATGTTTGTAAGACGTACTTCCGAGATGATCTCAATCGCAATGATTGGCAGCTGGTCGTAGAACTCAAAAAGCTTCTAGATATAATGTGAATTTGTGTGAGTGTTGAGATGATTAGCTTAATTCGTTTTCTCATAGTTTTAGCCATGAAGCCTTGTGGAGTCCCTGTTACGGATTATTTTTTGCCACGTCTTTTCTTTTTCTGGTTTTTAAGCTGTTCAGCTGTGCTCATCGAGTCTGTCTGAGAGATTTCTGTGGTTCTTGTTCGTTTGCTCTGAATGAGGCCGATATCCGGTGGAAACCTATTAACTGTTGCTTATGTTGTTTTATCATTTTCGTTCATTTCGTTGCAATCGAGGGGTTGTTTTTTCCGTGGTGATTTGCTTATCATTTCTAATCTTATCGGTTTTGACGTGGAATTCCATCATAACACTTGTAGTAAGTGCACCCCGTTGTTCGTTTCTCAATACGTTTTGAAACGGAGCTTGTTGACGAGTAAATTATTACGGCTAGTCGCTTTTGATTGCTACCATTCTGATTGTACGCAAACAATAGACTATCTAATTATTCGTTAACTATTGCATATTTCGTACTATGCATAAGTCAATGATCAAACAACCGGAGAAATTGAATGAGTTGATGATTGATATAAGGGAGCAATGACGCTCCATCCAGAAAGGTAGCGCACTCCCTTCCATGGAACTGCGTCGATTGCAGGCTTGTGGCTGAAATCTAAGTGGGTAGTATGGTAGTGGGTGTAATTCGGAATTTCACTGCGTATAATTATTATTTCATTTTATCGAGTATTTATTGTGGTTACATAAATTTTTTTTCGAATTCGCGTTCGATTTTACAGCAACATCTCGGGTTCACAATGAAATCTACATACTTTGTTATTTTGAACTTTCTTGAAGAAGTAATTGTTTTTTTTTNTTTTTTTTTCTCACAGCGCAGCAGAGCAGATCCGGGTGAATCATCTTTTAATGGATAATGGCCAAGAGTACTGTGAACCGTCACAAGTATGTCTTGTCTTCACTTGTAGTTTTTACTTACTACTACTTCACCCTGCCGACGTTATGTGAGCGTGCTCAGCCAACATGAGGAATACCGGGTTATTCGGCTATTTCGGGCAATGATGTCCAACCTCTTGTTCGCCAACCCTGCATCCATTTGCTGGCGGGTTAGTGCTTGCCTCTGATATTGTAAACTGAACTACGATAATTTCAGGGTCCTTTCACCTCCTCAATGCCTCTCACCATCCCTTCTCAGCGGGAAGTTTTAGTCAGATTGATTACTGATCTGGCCCAATTTCTCAGTTCATTTGCTTTCATTTTTCATTCGGAATCCACGTAAGAAATGAAGATGAGTTTCACCCATCTCCCAGCGCTTCCAATCCAACGATCTCACGTCTTTCTACACTTCGTTACTTCTATTTGCAGTAGGCGAACCTTGGAAACAAGCAGTAAAATTTGGTCATTGAAAAATCAAGGCTGTCAGAAACGAGAGGTTGTGGGGCTGCCGCTCTTATGCGTAGCGTTTGAAGCTCTTGATAGTTTTCTCTTTTGAGATAGTAGGAGGGAATGCTGCGCTGAAAGAAGCAGTTATTTTCGTTCGGTACTGGTTCCGCACGTCACTCGATCCAAAATTGGTAATTTCAATCGATGGCCCATTATGGTGTACCACACGTAGCGGTGTGACCCATAAACATCAATCATTTGTCCACCATTGTTTTTCGAAGCACGTTTTGTCTTACTATTTTGGTATTGCTCCCTAAATTTCGTACCCTTCGTTATTTTTATTTCAGCGAATGGAAAACGCAAGTAGTCGAGCGTTCACGAATCGTGACCGTACCACGAATGCTCCAGACGTCCGAATAAGTAATGATTAGTGATATTAGGCAATTAATCAATTATTTCGTTTATTTAATAAATTGTATCGAATTGCACCTGCAACTTGGTGTACTAGCCTCAAACGTTTTCGCCAAATCTTCGTCTATTTTTCGGTTTGCAGGTGTCGAGGATTGGGGAGGATTTCCAAGTAGTTCCAATTCGGTCCCTCAAGAGAACGGAGCTTACTACTCAAGCGATGCCGGAGGCCGAAGGAGCAGTGCTGGTGGGCTCTTTAATGTTTTTTTTTTTCAGAACATCTTGTTTGCATTTAGCGTCATCAGAGATCGATCGTCGGTGAAAAAGACAAATAGTAATTTGGTGGCATTGACTTTTGTGTTGCAAAAATGTAATGTTAATTTGCGACACTCTCAAATAGACATTTATGCTTTCTGAATGGTCAAATTCTTCGTTATTCTGGCTCTGAGATATATGAAGGGTTGAAGAGTTTTCTCTCGAAAAACTTCTATCTATTTTTTGAATTCAAAATGTTACGAACCGGTTCTCCAAAAAAAANAAAAAAAACTTTGGAGCACCCCTGAGTTTTTTCTCCTGGCTCTACTTTTTTGCTCTTTCTTTTGGGAGGGAGGAAGGGGTAGTGATCCTTTCGTACTCATTCAGTACAAGACTCCATGAATTATTTTGTTATGGGACCTTTGGCTCTATAAAACAATGCAATTTACTCATTCTAAAGTTCAGGTCGACCAGCATCGTCTGTTATTGAAGCGGCGGATAGACTGCGTGGAGAATACGCACGCCTTCAACAAACAATTCACGAGAATCAAGAGGCACAATCGGTATTCCATGAAATCCTTAATATCATTCGAATATAACGAAAGGAGATATAACGTTATTGTTTCAGTTATGTACAATGGTCACAGCAACTATTCCTTTCGTCTTTGTATTCGTCCTTAAAATGGTTTTTGATAACTTCTTTTCAATCCTTCGAATAGTCATCGCCCTGGGGGGCTTTCTTGCAGTTGATTCAAGAGTCCAAGAGCTGTTCACAGCAGGTACAATTGTTCCATCGCTTATCATCTTCTTTCCGTTTACCAAAATACTGCGAATGAATTGAATGTTCTCCCTGAAATTATTTTATCATGATGGAATCAAAAGACCTGCGTCGTTGAAGTCTGAAAGCAGCCATGGGATCACGCGTGAATCGCGCGCCCCCCTGTGCTGTGATTGCGCGTACCTAGCTTTCAAAGGCATCGGCATCCGGTTCCTTTTGCAGTCGCAAACCTGGTTTCTTCCTCGACGAGAATTTTGATAGAATTCAAGAGGAAGGCAGCTTTCTTTTTCGCTTACCTTGATGGTCGTCTGAGTGGAGAATATTCATTACCATTAAGACTGCACCATTGACGGATTCCACAAGTCTCTGAAGCCCCTGAAGCTTTTCCGAAGCAGCTATCATTAACTTTTTTATTTGATCTGCTAGATTCAGCTAGTCTGTTGGGAAGGCCCTTCAAAAACCATTCCTCCTTGTAGATGGTGCTGATGATGTCAACTTGCCAGGCAATCAGAGCATGAGCTTTTGACATACACCTTACATTACATATCCTATCTGTACCTAACAGAACTATGGTCCGCTTCTGATGACAGGCAATAAGCAATAGCAATTTTCTATCAGCCGGAATGCCAGATTCTTGAATGACTGTCAGGAACATGGCGTCGCGCGCAGTTATCTAATTTTAGCGGCCGCGCTGGCGCCTTCTGGTCACGGTTTTAATGAGTAGCAGCGGGTTCGAGCTAGCAACACATGGGGATGCATTTTCATGCTTCCGTGTTGGACCCTGGACAGGGCCATAACTCGGGTCTAAATCCTTCCAGCAACCACCTTCTCGGATGTGGTCACTGCTCTGGAAAACGGGATTCTATGAGCTGCCAACCTTTCGGTCGCGTCTTTCCCTCCTTTTACCCATTAGCTATTGGACAGATAAGCCAGATATAGATAAGCTAGATATAGATAAGCCTTCTGAAGAGACCTAGCCGCTCTCATAGATTTGTGAATGTCTTAACGCCTCACAGGTAGTAAAAGCCTTGACTTGAGTTCATGTGAACCCCCGGTCGGTCTGCATGTCATAATGCACAAATTGATCCTAGAGGGCCTCGAATTTAAGAAATCCTACTGCGTAATTATTTCCAGAAATTCTATCCTACATTACTTGCAAATCCAAACTCCATTTCTAATCCTTAATAGTAGATAATGAACGGAGTGAGGTCTTGAGATTTTCATTTTTGGGAGGTCCTGTTAAAATAGGAAGCCAGAGCAAGCACTTCCTCCTGGGACAATGACAACCATCAGTGGGTGTCAGTCGCGAAAGGAAGGGGTGTGGTCCAATGGTCGCACCACATCGAAGTGCGCATTGTCGTCGAAGGGTTAAAGACGCTATCAAGCCTCATACAAATTATCGACTTGCCTTCTTACACCCATTTATTTACTTTGCAAGTTCAAGAGTAATTCAGTCACTGTATGTCGAGATCTAATTATCGATATAAGAACGAACTTATTTCAGGTCATTCAGCATCAAGTATTCGCATTACTGCCGTGATCATATTTTTGGTGTTATTTTACTTTACTTCTGGTATTTGCTCTCATGATGATGAGTTCAACATGAGAAATGTTCTACTTCTCAAATATGCGGTTCGTTTCTAAATTCTTCCTGTGTTCCATATCACAAACACTACAGTAATATCGAATCCTTGCAATTAAATAGAATCTCGCGAACGGAAGTAATCTTATTTTGCTTTATTGGAACTAAGCCTCCGTTGATCATGAAGATGCTTCCACAGCTTCAAAAAGATTGTCAGTAGCCAACAGGCTCAATCTCTGTGTGCCTAGTTGACCACTTACCGACTGCATGCCATTGAAGCAGAACATGGCTTTGCTGACATTGACGACATACTGCGAATTGTCCATTTGTAGTGGGCTCCCAACAGAGTAAGTCGATAATGATATCCAAAGTGCAATCGTCACAGTCGCCGCGCGTGACAAAATCGTGTGTTAACGCAAAATCATGACACGCCTGTTCGGGAGCACTACTGAAATATGAGCTTTCATGGGAAACTTTTTACTTTTTCGAAGCTGGATAACTTTGAGATTCAAGAGTTAGCGCAACCATTCGCTCCCTCTAGTTAGATATGTTCCTGCACTCTCATAGTTTTGCACAGGGCTCTCAAGTACGTAACTGGGTTGCAGATTAAATTGTGAGAGTAACCGCCTTTTGTAGTGGTGTGATTGAACCAAATCTCTAGGGGTGAGCTTTTCTATATTTTCTATGATAATACTAACCATTTCTGCTTCAAAGCGAATCTGGTTCCGATTACTTCAACCAAGAGTGTGGTCCCCTTCTCCCCTGGGAAGACGGGAAGAATAAGTGGTCTAAGCAAATTGCGATAGAATGGTGATACCACAACCGTGTGTGATAATGATAGCAGTGCTACTTAGCTTTGCTTTCCCTCACTCCTCAAGGTGACAGCCATGTGAAAATGGTTTTTCTTTCTGCTGTTTACACTCATTACAACATTACTAATTACTACAATCTTTATTTTTGTAGGGTGTTGTCTATCATGGATTCTTTTTTACGGTGTATGTGCTCACACTCAGTGATACGTTCATTAAAATGGTGGTTTCAGGCACGAAACTGATAGTTAGTCTTTGTTTTCTTGTATTTTCATTGTTCTTTTACCTTCTCATGGGAGGTACTTTCTCTGTCCATATATTTTTCAAGAATCATCTACTCAACATGAACCTTCGAGAAATGAGCGCCGTTTCATGAAGAAATGTGCTGCTTTTCCTAGTGAAATTCGGTTGGGTAAAGTTCATTGAAGTGAAAATAATGGAGTTTATAGAGATTGAGTGAAAGGAGCATCGAACGATTAGAGAAGTAATTAGGTGATAATGGTGTAAACTTTCTTATTTGAGGTGGATCTCTATCAAAATACGGTTACGTGAGTTATCGTTCAAACCGTAAATGAGCTCTTGATACACAATTGTCGTGCCATTAGTTTCGCAGTGATTTATTGAACGACCTTTGTATAGCACGGCATGCCCTTTTCGTTCCTCTCGCTCATTGAATCATCATTCTTCACAAAACATCACATCGTTCAGTGTCTAAATCTTAACACGAGGTATTGATTGGCGCAGCGCCGACGTCGGCGTCAGGATTCGGGTACTATGAATGCATCCGGCACCTGAGGGCAGAATAGCGGTTGTCTAGAGTGTAATTACGGCGCTTCCAGGACATCCTTTGTCTAGTCCAGTGATATTCATGTTTTTTATACTTGGTTGGCTTTTCTCAAAACCTTTCATCGCCATTTGTTCCATTCTTATCAAGTAATATTTACATTGTTCATTTACGTATATATATACTTAGTGTGAGAAGCATTTGCGAGTTTTTTTTTTTTGATTGTCAATATATGTAAGTGCCGCCCGTACTATTTTTGGCAGTGTCAGTAACAGTATAAGGGGCACCTACATCAATTCAAATTGACCAATCAGTAAAAAAGACCAGCTCCAAAGGTGTTGGTACCAACTGAAACATTACTTGGCTTTTAGGTTTCCCTGTCTGGTATAAGCATGAGCATGAAAAGAAAAATCAATCAGTTGTTAGAGTATTTATCGCAGGTAAGGTTTTCTCTGGCTATGATCCAAGAGGTACTTCTGAACTGAACTTCTTCCAGACATACCGCTGCGTCGTTCCAGTTCCTCAGTGGTTGAATTACTTCATCGGGAAAGAATTGTCTAACTTTGCATTATATGCTAATGGCTTACTTTTCACTCTATACGGGATTATCAAGGTTTGAGATTTTTCTCTGTGCCTCCAATCAATTCTCTTTTTCTCGTGATCGCAGTAGGGGCTGCTTCAGACTTCAACGGCGCACCCGACAGCGGTCCATGCGTGCGTCCAACTCCGTCGGTCGGACGCACGCACGGACGGTCGTCGGTTGCGTAGTTGAAGTCTGAAAGCAGCCAGACATGATAACGACTATTGACTCGCGTTGAGTATGTGAATGTTAAACTGAAAAACTCAAAAAGTAAGATTGGGCCACTACGTTGGTATCATTATGCATGTTTAGTCATGGTTATGTTTTATAGTTTTCCGATTCATGGATGGCGATCTTTTAACACGCAAAATAAGCTCTCTGATCACGACAAATCCACCGCAAGTACATGTGTATAGTTTTTATAGCACTTTTTGGCATGGATCTTTGATACCGATCCGCAGCGCGCTGCGACTACTACCTGGTTGTCTTGCCAGTGACTGCTTTCGAAATTCCAAGAAGTGCTTTGACCGACCGATCGTCTGACCGACCGACCGACGACGGCGCTAGCCACGTGTCGACAACACTGGATGTCGATGGATCACACGCCCTCCTATTCACGCGCACCTTGCTGCTTTCAGAGTTCATCGGTGCGCCTTCCGAGTGCGCGTCCGAGAATGCATTGGACCAAGGTGTTGCTGGCTGTGTTGACAATACTGGACGCCGATGGATCACGCGCTAGTGTTGTCAACAAGTGGCTAGTGCCGCCGTCGGTCGGACGCACGCTCGCACGCGCTCAGAAGGCACACCGGTGAACTCTGAAAGCAACTCCATCTGTCCAGTGTTAACAACACGCAACGCGTAGCAAGGAGCACGGTCGGTCGGTCGGAAGGCCCGTCTGTGAACTCTGAAGCACCCAGTCAGCGCCCCCTTTGCGCAACTATAAGTAGAGTCCAAGCTTTTCGGGTGGCCACTGATGCTCGAGCTGGAATGTGATGGTTGTAGTAGGGACATTGAGTGCCGGTTCTTCTAAAAGTATGTAATTTTTACAAGTGACTGGTTGCTAAAACATCAGTGAGCACAGCTCTAATATGGTAAATTTGATGACGGATTGAAAAGTTCTTCAAAAAACCTCCCTTCTATATAATAGTATCTATTTGCATCACAACTTTAGGTCAGTTTTCAGGCACGTGAACTATGGGGGCTTTTTCTGACAACGTTTGAATGCGCATCGCGGATTGTACGTGTAAGTCGTAGTTTTATAAATATTTCCACTGCTCCCTGTACGCACTTCTTCGCTGGTTTTTACTTCCTAGAGGCAATCTTTTTTACTTTCTGTTGCCTCATTATATCAGGCACGCTGCCTCTTTATGTACTCGTCCTCATCAGTCTCATCTAAAGAACGCACTTTCGTTTCTATGTCTTTACACTCGCATTTACTTCATTTTTAGTATTTCTCATACCATTCTTTGTTCTTCATAAACACCAATCAGAAGTTGGTTAAGCGGACTATTCAACAATGAGCACTATTTGCCAGTTCATGTAAGTCCGTGTGTTTTTCAGCCGACGCGCCATGGCAGTTTTCCTACTGCTGACGAAGTTGACCAGCAGGGAATGTGTTCAGTTTGTCATGGAGAATTTTCTTCTCCCATCAAAGTAAGCTGTAAAGCATCTTATAATCGCTCAATTTGGATTTCATCCCTTTTACCAAGATCTCTTGGTGGCGTTCAAGCATAAGGAAGAATCAAATAGGGCTTCGTGACCATCGTGCACAAAGTCGCGCTGTTATGCTCGGTGACCGAAAGGGCTCTCAATTCTACAAATGATCATGGTCGGGAACGTAATAATTTTAAGGAGGTTCCTGGTTGATTTCTAACCATGACATATTAGGTTAAGAAGTGGAGCACGCAAATTCACGGTATGTCGTGCGCGGCGGTTTTCCTCCCTGTCCTATCAACGCTCATGCCGTCTTTAGAAACAAATACTATGATTTCAGTTGGTTTGCTCTCATATCTTCTGCTCGGCCTGTATAGAAAGATGGTTAGAATGCGAGAATACATGCCCGAACTGCCGAGCCGTTGTGGAGAAGAAAGATAATTCCTGGAAAGATGGTGCCACAAGCAAAGGAATTCGATTTTGTTAATTTGTTAATTGTTGTTGTTTTTAGATGATGTAATCTTGTCTATAACCATCTGTTCATCTGCGCTTTCATCTTTCAAGTATTCTGGGAGGATAATACTTACCTACATTTCTAATATAAGTGATAGTAATGCCGATTCGGTTGTCACCGTTCATTTTTTTTATACTTTGAATGCAGTGGAGACGATAGCTATTTGGGCAGAGAGCAAAAATATGCTTGTGTTGGATTTTCTCAACTGGTTGACAAGTCGCCACTTCACGCCACAAGACCATCATCATTTGAGGAGGGGAGATTCCGCTGTGGAAGAACAAGCTTCGTCCGCAAAGCTGTTGCAGCCACTGTCCGTGAGAAAGTCGCTGTGATTAAAACACATGTGCGTTACCGAACATCTATAGCGAGCTTCATAATTCGTTGTTGGTCTCGCAAAGATTCTTCCAGATCAGTGCATAACAGTTTAGTTCGAATGTTAGTGTTAAGAATATATGCGCTGTTATAAAATTTCCCAGCTGGATGTGGGCCATTGTTAGGTCCCTATTCATCCCAGACGATGCCTCTTTGTCATAAAATGGGCGTAGTGTTGGTAGTGAACTGAGGGGAGCGGAAACAGCACAAGAAGCAGCTGAGTCGGAGCTACCTTACAATGGTACGACATGCGCACTATTACTGAGACATCGTTCGTTTGTCCATTTGTGGCGAAATGGGCGTAGCTGAGAAGCTTACGGACTTGACTAGGTGCTCATGTTTTTTTACTGTTCTTTATCATTTTTCTGCCATTTGGAAACCTGATGGAAAATGGTCGGATGCGGAGCAACCGGACCCTGTGGCCCGTATACGTCCTACAGTCGGTTAGTATCAATTGATATTCGCCTTGTCGTGTTGACCTTTTTGTCGTATTTTTTCCTATCTCGCTATTTTTTGCTATCCTTAACCTTTGGCAATGCCCTAACAATTCTCATCACCCCTCTCCAAGCTCTGTTTTTGCTGTTTCTCTTCTTTTTTGCACCTGACACCTCTGAATTCTCCGATCTTTGCTACTTTCCAGCGTGTCCCTTGAAAGCATAGGGCTCTGAGCTTCACCAGATCAGCAACTTTCGGGACTTCTCAATAAGCAATCTGACGTGAAGGGTTCCAATTTAGACCAACTCCTTTGGCCGAGGTTGTTTACTACCTGGTCACCCTATCATAATGGGTCGTTCCGGTAGATTTGGACCGGTCATCGTTTGGCCGCTTTCAGACCTCGACGTCCGTCCGTCCGACCGACCGACCGACGCTTGCGTGCTGCGACGGCGGTCGCTAGGGTAGTGTTGAGAGCGCTGGCACGTGGTCCAGTGTTGTCAACAAAGGTCAGGCGCCGCCGTTGCAGCACGCAAGCGTCGGACGGACGGACGGACGTGGAGGTCTGAAAGCAGCCTTTGGGATTCGTTGCCTATGGTGCACGTATACCATTCACGGCCGTCAATCAATGCGAAAGTAGCTCTGCTATATCAAAGTGAAAATAAATAAAGCGTATCATACATCATGTCTTTTTTTTCTCAAGGTAGAAAGCCTTTATCTGAAGATATGAGTCACACACAAGAGTCGCTATTGTTATTTTGAAAGCGTTCTATAACGCGAGTAGGGTAAGACAGTGGGGAACGTAGCCGTTTGAGCTTTGCTTGTTTGTGGACCAATCTTTTTGCTGACCTTCTGTCCTCCCTGGTTTGGAACTGACTTTCCAACCTCAACGTGATGGAATGGTATGTCGTACGAGCGTCTGTCCGCTATCCGAATCCTGCTCCATGCGTGTGATAGAGCTTCACACGCCTTCAGCGTTCCCTCAATGTTTGCGACTATCTCGAATGAATATGTGTTGACAAGTTCGATCATATGTTTGTTTTAAACGGTCCACACTGAAGTTTGATAAGGTGGACTTTAACGGGCTCCCGTTGCTCGACAGTGAGTGTCAGATCTGAGAGATTCCTCAAAGAACATCTTTCCGTCGCGAAAATACAAAATATTTCAGAATGGTCAAGGAAGAACTGCTGCATAATTGTCATCAGAGGGAGTTTGGTTTTTCCGATGGCACCATGTTGGAAGAAGGTTTTCGATTTTTGCAGATTTCCTTATCTACAGAAGACATCCCTAGGAGTTCGTCTAGTTGAGGACATTGGAAATTTCGCAACCTGGATTCGATTATCTGCAAGGGTTGTAGCTCTACAATGTTAGAAGCTTTGACCCGTCAACAAAACGATGGCGTTGAGCGCTCGTATCTTTCTGATACTTCGTTTCCAATATTTCTGTAGTGACTAATTCGTTCTTTTCACAAGATGAGTGGCACTGCATTCGTGCCACAGGCAAGTTTTTTTTTTCAAAAGTTAGAGAAAATAGTTGGATGTACAACATCTGCTAAAGGTTCTGGAACAGACGATCTTGCCTTCGGCACTTGGATGGCGATAGTAGCAGCGACAAGTGATCTTGTGACTGAATGCAGGGGTCGTTCATTACTAGCAAAGCACGGATTCAAAACTGTTGTGTTTGCAGCCACCTACCCGCCGCTTATGATCATTGGGCAAGGTATGTTAATTTTAGACTGCTCCAAATGCTGTAGGGCAGTCAAAACGTATCTGGATGTTAGACCAGGACCTCTCGCAATGCTGACCTCAGAGCTGAAGAGCCAGGTAGAAATAAGGTCGCAGCTGGTGGTACCAGTGGAATCACACTTCTAATGTAAGTTGTGAAGACAGTCGCACAAGCTGCCTCAGAGAGAAAATTTCTGGTTGATCCGAGAAGGAGGTGTGCCACTTGCAGGATGGGGTTCTCTTTCGCTTGGTCGATACCGACAACTATCAGTAATCAGTGTTTTTGGACCTTGTTCCTTAGTAAGCTGATTCGATGTCAATGGAAGGAACCTGCAGTTTTATTGGATCACTCTAATAAGATTGCAGAGTTAGCAAGAATCACTGTTCAGGCGGGTTCCGTCTTGGGAAACCGAGCATGCACCCTCAACCCGCCCTTCACCCCTCCGGGCCACTTACCACCACGCCTGTTCCGTTTTTGGAAAAATTATTATGAACCTTTCATGACCTGGCAATGGCTGTTGGCCCTTGTTCTAGAATCTTCCAGGCCCCATTGATCATTCTACCAACCAGCCCACTTATCAAGACCAACTTCATCTTGATCTCAAACATTTACCCAATAGTGATGGAGGGCATTGACTGAGGTAACCATGCAGTAACTCCTTGAGCTATTCCCGATCGTTAAGATGTTTATTAGTACTGTAAATGAGCGAATTATTGGCAGGTCAAGTTGGTCAGTGGGTGGTCACTATCTTGAATCACCCAATAAGGCCGCCCATCCCCATTGATTCGACGTTGATGGCAGGAGACTGCCGACCTTTTTTTCATTTCTTTTCTTTGCAGTGTTATTATGAACTTGCGAAGGACATTTCATTCAGTCATCCATCTTTACCTGTACCAGATTGAAGAAGAACTGTACACTACAGTACTGCCATTCAGTCATGCCTTATCCATAAGGCCCTTTTAGCAGTGGGTAATGGACACACTACTTCCCACGAGGTCTGATGTGTCTTACTCTAGAAAGGAAAAGAAAGAAAAAGGTGGTTGATTTCTCAGATCTCTGTTCCTTCGAATTTCTCCATAACTTCTGCTCAATTCTCTTCCTTCTGGTCCCTCATTCTTTAGTTTCCATCGCTCTGTGCTTGAGACTATTTCTCCCCCTTTCTTTCTGGTATATGATTCCAAAACAATCGATTTTTGAGGCAATAACCAAAATGGATAGTTCACGGAATTACAGTCCAGAAAGAGAAGGAGCGAAGTGGGGAACTTGGGGTCCACTGTGTCTCCTTGGACAGCAGTACCTACATACACGAAGACAGACAGATGTAAGGGCAGATTGGATGGTGGCACAAACGGCACGCGGACGGGGGCAGGCAGAAGGATTGACGCAGTCAAAAGAACGGGAGCAGACATGGACAGACGCCGATAGATTGCAGGGCCGGTTGGCATGGTCACATGGAAGCATAGAGGTAGGTTCGACACAGATGTAGATGAGTTTTATCGAAGGGTGTCCACGACGATTTCCTTTCCTTTTCTCTTACCATCTATGTCATATTCCCTCCTTTATTAAAGCTTGGACTGAAAGCTAAATTTCCTCGGCTATTAAGTTTGAATGGCCTGGTTTTTTCTGTTTAAGAAACCTCACCTGGAGGATAACCCATGATTCCTGATTTGTTTTTCCTTCACAGTAGCTAGTCGTAGCTAGTAATAATAATATTCTCACCAATTGATTTTGTCAGAAAGTTGTGATGGTCGTTCTTCATCACTCCTCTACAATTTTTCTTCTATCTCCCAGGGCATCCTGGTCTGGTTTTCTTCCTATTTCTGTTCTTTCATCAATGGTTTTCTTTCGCAAATATGCTCATATGCTCCGCAAAGGTCTTATCCTCAGGTTTACACTCCTTTTTTTACGTGCTTTTTTAATTGGTTAACTCTGTAAGATTCACTATTATATTTACGTCTCCAATAAATTTGATAAATCTAGGTTCTGTCCTTCTGAATTTTGTTCCTTCACATTCCATCTCTCAATTCTCCTAATCGTTCCTTCTTCACAACTTTCTTTTACAGGCTTCTTTATGTTCATTTTCACTTTTGTTTTGTTCATTTTTTTTCTCTTCATTTTTCGCTCTGAAATCCGTTTCACAGAATTTTCCCTCCTTAAATTCCTTCACTTCGATTTTTCCTAAGTTCGATCTTTCTCCCCAGAGATTTGATAGGTATTGATAGGATTTCTGTTGATTACGCCACAGCTTGGAATTGGAAAATGGCTTCTGTTTAACCCCTGACTTTAGTCATCATGCCAATGCGTCTTCGAATCGTCAACGGATTGAATGTGTTCCATGAATGCTTATGATATGGAATAGCATGATACATTGTGGCTTCGGGTTGGCTGGTAATAGCCAAGGGTTGGAGAAAACGGAGCCAAAACGATGAGTCAACGACCAGGGA